AAAAAATACTTTAAAAAAAAATATTTCTATAGAGATCTGAAAAATGCTTGTAATTTAGTGGATCACATTTGATTGCCTTTGAAATGTATTCCCTTCTGTTAGCTTTGTTGGATTAACTGACCTTAAGCAAGTAGCTGTCGCCCTTGAGACCTGTGACATTCTCTCCTGCCTAGGTTTTGAATATGTGGCTAAAAGTAAATTCGCTGTTTTCCTTTTTTATATTTTTAAACAGTAGATATTCCACATACTGTTCAGGAAGATGTGAATATTCTACTTTACATTTAAATTCTACTTTACGTTTAAAACATAGAGATATGTCATTATGAGAGTGAGAAACTTGAGTAGTCTTGAATTGTGTTTTTACCCCTATTTTCTGGCTTGGAAAAGCAAATTTAACTTTAAATAACTGTGAAGATGAGACTATTATATAAGTTGACAAACTTGGAATGATACAGTAGGCAATAGAGCAGGATTAAAAAATATCTTCACAAGTTGGAATAATGAGTCTTAACATCACACACTTTTAGTAAAAGACTAGGTCATAAATATTTTTCGCTTTTAAAAAAATTGAGGTATAATTGACATAACATTAATTTCAGGTGTACAGCATAATGATTTGATGTTTGTATATATTGTGAAATGAAATATTTTTAACTTTACAAGACATAGAGTTGTCACAGCTACTCAGCACGACGGTTGTAGCACAAAAGGGGGCATAGACAGTACGCGAGTGAGTGGATGTGGCCGTGTTCCGATAAACTTTTACTTACAAAAAAGGCAGTGGCTTGGATTTGGCCCTGGGTTTGGTGACCCCTAGTCTAAATTAAAAAGTTGAGATTTATTAGGATTATATTTAAAGCCTTTAATAGTCACCTTTATAATCCCCAATGAATAAAACCTGTTTTAATAGGATTTCAGTTGACTATATTAACCAACAGTTTGACATGACTGTTCTGGAAGCCAGACTCTTAGGGTATTTTAGCTGAATTTCAACCTAATATCTACCAATATGATCATATTCATTTATATTAGACTAGTGCTATGTCTAATTTTGAGTACCACATACATTTCAAGATCTTGCAAACAGGAATGCCTTCAGAGGAGAATATTTATAAGGCTGAAATATCTAGAAAGTGTATCTATAATGAGAAAAAGTTGAAAGCATTGTTTCCAAGTTGAGGAAGAGAAGATTTCAGAGGGGCTAGATAGCTATCTTCAAATTTTTATCATGTTGGGGTAGGATTAGCGTGTTAGACTTCGAGTTCCAGAGAACCCTAAAGTACATACCGGAGGGAGAGTTCAGCTCTCTATATGGATTGGAATCCTGGAGAGTAGAATGGACGTCAAATTATAAACGGTTAAATATACTGAGCAGTAAGAGTTATATGAGAGAATATGTACACTGGGGAAGGGAGGTTCAGCGTGACTCAGTTTCATTTACAAAGGCAACTTGGAAAATAGGAATATAATTAATTGAGCCTCAGTACTTTGACAAGCTTTGTATAGGTGGAACTAAACTTGAGGAAGTAAGAATTTTCATTTTGCTGAATCACTTTGAGGGTACCAGGCCTTTGTCACCATCTGTTTAAAAATCATCTGTACCACTCAAAAGCTAACCCATGGTGACTCAGAATTCAAAGAAATTAACGTTACAAAAGTTAAACAAGAAATAATTATTAATAAGTAATTGACAAATTAATAATAATTAACTGACTTTTTATTATTACACTGTTTTCTTTATTAATGTTTATCTCTAGCAGTCACTCAACTTTCTTGAGTGGTTATTTAGCCAAAAGTAATACCAGGACAATAATTTAATATTATTTATTATGTATGTTTTGGGTTTTTTTGAAACTGGTTATGTCAGTGAGCTTGTAATCACAGTACTATGATTCTGCTGCAGGATTGAAATGGAGGGGAATGGACTTGTTCAGTTTACTTAATCGAGTAGTTTGTAAGAGGAACAAAGATCGCCTATCTTAATTTAGCAAGTGTTGGTGCAGATTAGTACTGAAGGTCTGCTGCTTATTGTAATTCACTAATTCAGAAGAATTATGGGGAGAAGCCATCTTTCCTAGGGGGAAAATGAGTTCCAGAATATCTCAAACGTTTTTAAAACTCTTCTATTTTAAGACAAACTACACAAGGTAAGTCAATGAAAAAAATCTATATCACATACAATTTTACATATACTAGGCAATTACATGTAATTTCAGAATTATTATGCTAAAAAGGCAGAAGGAAGGAATAATTAAATTCATAAACCTATAGTTTGGAAAACTAGTAACTTTCTGATGCCTTTCCTTTCCACAACACTGTTTATAAAGGATGTAAATATTTTTAACTCAAAATAATGATATATGCCACAGAATTGCAGACAGTTCTCTAAGTCTTCATTAATGTGTCCTCACTCACAATATTTCTCCCTTTAAAAAAAAAATCTTATTGCCTTGAAAGTGTGTAAATATTTTTTTAAAAAATCTAAGTATAGCCCCATAAATTACATGAATATTTTCCTTGGAGTAGGATGAGATTTACCTCCCAGTATATGTGTATCTTCAGAGTAGCTTGGATTGTCACCTGGTTTACTAACTGATTGGCTGTGCAGCTTTACTTTGCCCAATAGTCATTTTGAAAAATGATGCTTTGCATATGGTTGGCGTTTAGTAGATTTTTGAACAAATGAATTGAAACATCTAACAAATCCTAAAGTTTCGAGATCTTTCCTAAATAGGTTGGTAGAAGCTATTGACTTCTCTAGTCTAATCGAATTGTCAGTTTGGCCCTAAGATCAAACCAGTGATTTAGGCACATGGTTGGCCACTGGCCTACCTATGAATATAGATGTAAGAATTAAGAATATTCATAAACTAGTTGGTTTTGCTATACTATAGAATTGGCATTACATTTTAAAATTCAATTAAATGTTGGAAATAGTGCACTCACGTGATATTTCAACTCTTTTCTCCATAGTTGTGGCAATATATGATTATACAAAAGACAAGGATGATGAGCTATCATTTATGGAGGGTGCAATCATTTATGTAATAAAGAAGAATGACGACGGCTGGTATGAAGGAGTCTGCAATCGAGTGACTGGTCTGTTCCCTGGGAACTATGTCGAATCAATCATGCACTATACTGATTAAATTCTTTTGGCTTTTAAAGTAGGTTCTTACTACTCAGTCATACTGTGGGACTATTATGGTTAACAGAATTGTCTTAAAATGTTTAAAAATGTGCCCATATTTTCAGGACATGCTGTTTTATTGGTATAATTGAATGTCTACCTGTAAGCATAAATCTTGGAGGCAGTTCGTGATTGCTAAATAGCAGTTCATACAGGAGGCTGTCCATAACTGATTATGCTTATGTACTTACACATTGTTAACTTGATGACCAGCCTAAATATTCTGGGGGTGTGGGGTATAATATTTAACAAATCATGGTTCAGATTGTACCATTACATGTTTCAGTGCAGCATGGTTACTAACGCTATGTCAGACTAATATTAAAATCAGAAAACTTAAATTCTGGTGCTGGTCATACTTTTTGTTTAAACTCTCTCATTCTTGAAATATACTATTTGTTTAAAGCATGCATTCAAATTTATGTATTGAAATATACTTAAAAAAATCCAAGATGCTTCCAATTTGTGTAGTATTTACTTGGAGTACTTGTATTTAGGTCTCTTGAAATGAGTTGAGTCTCTAAGGTCTCCATGTGAAACAAAACAAAAAAAGGTTATCTGTAATGTTGTTATTTGTACCTAAGTTTTTTAATGAGTGAATTTGCATTATAAATTTTTCCATTCATAAATATATAAGTGAACCAAAGGTTTTTGTCCTTTCCTTCACTGGTTTGCTTTTAAAAAAAGAAAGAAATAAAAGATACTGATTTATTGCAGAATTATGGTTCTATTTTCTCAATATATTAACTGGGAAAAAAAGTTTAGCCTTATCTCAATCTGTCCCAACAGGAATGTGACTGATTTTTACAGATTTGAAATCTGAGATGGTTATTTACCAGTCAATCTACTGAATTCCTTTTCTAAAGTAACTTTTTCAGAGCTAAGAAAATGTGTCCAAGTGTGTACATTCAGTCCTTCAGTTTCCGGTGCACTGTTGTATACCGCCGGTTCAATGAAAGGAAATGATCTTTTCTGTATTGTTTTTGTAGAGGTGGATGCAGTTGATTTTTGAATAGGCACTCTTTAATCCATTACCTGGCACTAGCAACATAGAAAGATGTAAAAATAATTGGGGGAAAAAGGTGGGTCATGTATTAACCAGTGAACAGGGATATACCTGACCAACAGATTTACATTATCTTTTGACATAATTGAAATGCAACACATGCACTTTGTGTGTCTCCTCTTAATTTAAGGGAGGGTTGGAGGGGTTTTTCTTATTTTGTGTATAATTCTCTCCTGCCTAGGGTATATTAAAGTAGAGCACTCAAGTGTGGGTTTCTGTGTACTGAGGATTTGTTTGGGTTTCAGATTACAGTTATGTACTGGGCATTACAGACTTATAACAGCATAGCAAATGGTAAGACTAGTGCAAAACATTTATTCCTGAAAATTAAAGACCATTATTGCTACCAAATCAATGTGACTGTTGCATATGCATTTTGCCTTTGTTAACATGATTTTAGTATCACTAGTGATCAGCTAGCTACCTTCTTCACATTTTTTCAAGTGGAATGTTCTCTTAATTTTGTATATAACCTATTGTCTAAATTTTATGTACAGTCTTTTATAATAAACCATTCTCCTATATGAAACTTTGGATACTGTTAAAACCTAACCAGTGTGGACTGAAATGTAGACTTCACATTTTCTGACCTTTACTTCTGTGATGAGACAAGATAAACCATTTGAATTTTAACATTGATTATTTATTTGTGTAATGGCTTTACATGTGGATATTAACAGTGTAAACAATACCACATATAACCATCAAGATACCTCGATTAGAATTTACAGCACTAGAATGATAGAATCAGATGGTTTAATTACATTTAAAAAGTTTTCTGAAAAACTTTGCCAATAAAAAATAATTGCCCATCGATAAGGTTGAAATGATTTTTTAAAATGATTTTTGGTTATCTGCACATGAAGCAAAGTATATTCGACAAAATTCTTTAGGCACAGTGTGGTAAAATAGCTGCCAGAAATAACAGAAAGAGCTGTCATTTATCTCTTGTGAGGACAATTTCTGAAAGTTGTATGAGGGCATCTCTTTCCGGGGATGGTCGAAGTTTACTGATCTCTCTTACTGCCTCATGGCAGTACCGCTGGGCGAGGTAGGTTGTTTGTTGCACACCATCACTCTATGGGATACAGAACAAAACAGAACAGATGCATGTCACCCATTGCATCAGCTCTTAAACACCTGCTACAATGAATTAAAACAGTTTTAAGATCATATAGGTCAACAGCCAAACTATGTTTCTAATGTTCTCTCTCCAACTCATAGTTCTAGCTTTCTCTGCCGACTTTTAGGCCCTTTTCTCAGATTGAAGCAAATTTTTATTCTATTAGCATACAAAGCAACTAACTCATTAATATTAAGTAGCCATCTATTTCCCCTATTTTTAAGTATAGTTATGCACCTCATGACGCTGTTTCAGTCGGTGATGTACCACGTATACAATGGTGTTCCCGTAAGATTAGTACCATATAGACTCTGTATGAAGTAGGCCATACCATCTAGGTTGGTGAAGTACACTCTATATTGTTAACACAACAACGAAATCACCTAAATAAGCATTTCTCAGAATGTATCCCTATCATTAAGCAACACATGACTGTATTAGAGTTTTTTTAAAAGTTCTATATATAAAAAATATCTATACAATAAGTTTTTAAATGAAAAAATCTAAAGTGAAAGTTTTAAAAAACTATATATACAATAAAAGTACAGAAGAGCTTATGATGAAAATCAGCAGTTCCCGTCTTCCAAAGGCATCAGCTTTATCAGTGGTTTTTATTTCTTAATTAGTAATTTTAGTTATTTATTGCCTTTCTACTAAGAAAAATGAGGATTTAGTCCACCCACTATGCCTCCTAATTTGATCATTGTATTGCTGTCTTCGGTTCTACTAGATGACCTTTGTCATCATGTTACATCAGCTTCTGACTTCATCGTGTCTAAGATGAGGGTAAGCATGAGGAGCACTTGTAGAAGTGCTCCTGTGTTTTCTTCTCACTGTACCTTTGCACTGTAGACATTTGCACCGTATTCTCTAACTATGTTTTTATGTTGGTTCTTTCTAAAAGTGTAAAAATGTGTACTGCAGAATCAAGTATAGTTGTGCATAGCCTAATGACGGAGATATGTTCTGCGAAATGTCTCATTAGGTGATTTCGTTGTTGTGTGAACATCATAGTGTGTGCCTAACACAAACCTGAACAGTGCAGCCTACTACACACCTTGGCTATGTGGTTCTGATCTCGAGAGACCACTGTTGTATAGGACCATCACTGACTGAAACGTCATTATGCAGCACATGACTGTAATATACTATAATTTTATTTCCTTCCCCATGGTTCCAAGTTCATGATCTCTCTGTATTCAGAGGAGAATATTCCTCACAAAATGACTCGAGGGCCTCTTACCAATTGACACAAGATATGACTCAAATATGATACATTTTAGTTTGCTCTGCCTTACTGTACAGAAGCCCACTTCTGGATGTAACTCCCTCCTTTTCTTCCTCTTTGGGAAAGGAGCTCCTGATTTCTAATATTTCCAATGCCTTAATCATTCTCTCTATTATTTGACTTCCTTCTAGCTCTAATGTCCAGCTGCCTTCTCAGTATGACTTTTCATTGAACTCTTTTGGTCCATTCCACTGCTTTTAATACTTCTATCTTTCTCTTTCTTGGGGTTTCCACATTTTTGCTGAAATACATCCACAAGTAAATTACCCAGAATATGTGTATTGGAAGTCAGCTTTTTAGCTCTTAAGTGTGATAATGACTTTTGCCATCATATTTAGTGGATGGTTCAACTAGACGTAGAATTCTAGGTTAAAATGTTCCTCATCATTTGGAAGCTCTTGCTCACTGCCTTCTAGCATCCATTGTATTTGCTATACACTGAGCCAGTTTTGATCCTTCTTCCTTTTGTATGTGACCACTTTTTTCTTGGATTTCATTTTTTGACTCTCTTCCTGAAACATCTGTTACATGATTGTACTGATCCTCTTCAAAGCTTCTCTCATTTTCTTCCCTTACTGTTTATATTTTGGAAGATTTCCTCAATTTCATATTCTAACCTTTCTTTGGAGTTTTTCACAATCATCAAAAATTTCTTAGAGCTTGTTCTTATTTGTTTTTTAAAAATTATTATCCTGTTCTTGTTTTATGAATGCAGTATTTTTGAACTGTCCTATTTATATTTTTCCTGAGTCTTTAATTCTCTTTTTCCTAGTCTTACTCTTTCATTCAGCAAGCTTTAATCAACCACTTAGTAATCCTATTAAATAAATCTTAGTTGTCCATTCATATTTAATGAGGGAATAGGGACTAGGAGTTCTGTGGTTCGTGAACAGGGAGCTAGAATTTATAGTTCTTTAGAGAATTTGTTTAGAGAACATTCCTGTGAATTTTTTTTCTAAGTGCATTTCTGTCTAGGCTTGTTGGGCCTTCACTGTTCTACATAAGAGCCACAATTAATTTCCCTCTTTTCAGTCCCACTTCTCACTTCAGCCCTCAGTAGTACTGTTATTTCTGAAGCCAGAACCTGTCCCAGGCATATCGACTTCTTTTATCACCTATGGCCCCCTCTTATACTGAGTTTTTCATAGTACTTGCCAAACTACCCTCCAAAAAGGTGGTAACCCATAGCATACTATGATGCTTAACAGTATAGAGAATGAAAAGAGAAACTTATCCTTTGGAGGGGTTTTGCTTTTTGGAAATTTAAAAAATCTGAAAGATAATCATTTGGAATTCTTTCAAGTATTGGACTTACTATAGATTTCAGATCACATTTACTTACTAAAAATTGTTTGCTCACTCCATCTTATTCACTAGATCTACTGGCTCCAAATGACTTTGGATTTGGATCTTAGAAAGAGCTCATTCTCAAAAGTCACAGAAACTGAAAATACGCACGAGGATCTGGCTTCAACAGGAATTCTGAGGATATGTGGCAATATATTTGAAATAAGCTATAGCCCTGAAGTTCAGCTTCGTTTGCCTTTGTTGGTTTAAATTTTTTTTAGGTTACCACTTCTTTAGTCACACCTTTATCGCTGTTATATAGGATGGACTAGGAGAGACCAATTGTGAGTAGTCTAGCTGCAGCAAGGATGAGGACTTGGATTAGGCTGGAGGCCAGTCTGGGCGACGGGGAGAATAGTGATGCTACTGATGGATATGGGGAAGGCTGGTTCCACACCAACGGACCTCAACACTGACTGCACATTGGAATCAACTGGGTAGCTTTTAAAAAATACTAATATCCAAGCCCTGTCCAAGACCAATTAATTGGGATCTTTGGGAAGAATTCTACAAGAAAAATGAATTATACAAGTTTTTCTTTCTCAGTTTTTGTCAAATCAAGAATTGGCCAAACTTCGTCTTGTATCTAAAATTTAATATTATGTTATTTGATTTGTTAAAAGAACTTTGCCACATTGTACCTGCTGTTGCTTTGTTCCTTTTTATAATCTTGAGCCGGTCCTAATGGCCTAGTGGTAAAATTTGGCACACTCTCCTTCGGCAGCCCGGGTTTGGTTCCCGGTTGTGTAACCACACAACCTGTCAGTAGCCGTGCTGTGGCAGTGGCTCACATAGAAGAACTAGAAGGACTTACAACCAGAATATACAACTATGTACTGGGGCTTTGGGGAGGGAAAAAAAACCCCTTACCTGTAATACGTATTGTCGAGCTCTGTCCACATCTCCTGGCAAACTGAACCGTCTCATTATCATCGCATTCATTTCTGGGAACTAAACCATAAAGAAAGAAAATCTATTTATTGCTCTTGGGAGAATCAAACCACTAGTTTATAACAAGAGGAAATAATAATAGGTAAAAAAAAGTGATTAAATGTTTAGATGACATGGGGGAGCAGTAAATTGTAGCAATTAAAGAAGCAGGGCTAAGAGAGACATCCATTTTCCATGCACAGGGACTGAGCTGGTGCACAGGAGAGGCAGCTGTTGATTCTTGTTCATTCTGATGTTCTGTTCTATCCTTGGTCCAACACTGAATAAGGAAGAGAGAAGGAACCAAGTACATCTCTAAAATCTCCTTAGTGTCTTCTCTTATGGTTTTCAAACATTAGACTGCACCAGAATCACCAGAGACCTATTGGGCCTCTCCCCTAGAGTTTCTAATTCTGTAGGCATGGGGCGTGAGTGTGCATTTCAAACACGTTCTCCGGTGATGCTGATTCTGCTGGTCTCTGCTGACATTTTGAGAACCACTGGCATAGGATAAGGGTGGGGATTAGAAATTCTTCTTTTGGTACTAAATTGAGTGACTCTTAAAGCTGCTGAGGTTTCTGAGCAGAGGGTATTATGAACAGAGCTCTGCCTTAGCAGCTTGTAGAGTGGATGAGGGCAGCGGTACTCAACGTTGACTGCACACTGGAGTCACTTGGGGGGGTTTATAATACAGTTGCCTGGATCTGCTCCCGAAGATTCTGATTATATAATAGGCTTGGGGTTTGGCCCAGGGAGCAGGATTTTTCAAACTCTCCAGGTGTTTTTAATGTGCAGCGAAGGTTGAGAACCACTGAATTAGAAGAGAGGGAGAGAAACTGGTCACGTTACTGTAGTAAATTATAAAGAATACTAGAGTTAAGCTGATGGAAAAAGGAGGAAAAAAAACAGATACAAAAGGCATTGAAGATAAATCTACATTCTACAATACTTAGTAGCTACAGAATCAGAAGCCAGGACACCAAATCACTTCATTTTCTAGATCCCAGCTCTAGTCGTGGTGCTGCCACAGCTTTGTGAGTTCCTTAACCTCCCAGGTCCTAGCGCCATCTCACCAGTGTCATGAGGGAGCTGAACAGCATGATCTGAAATCTATTAGCTCTAACAGCTGAAGGTCCATGAAATAAGAGGTGAGATGACATGTTTGGTTTGGGACACGTCAGTGCTTCCAGCAGTTGCCAGTTTTTCCCTGGCAATAAGCCTGAAGGATGAAATAAGTTGTTGTCCTGTAACCACTGTCATGGTATTAGTAATCCCAGAAGAAAAAATAGGGCACACAGAGAAAAACCTCACCCAGATGATGGCAGATGAGGAATTAAGAACGTTCCTTTCAGAGCAAAGGAGGTGTCAGAACAAAGTTCTAAACATGTAGAGGCTGCTGGAGCCAGCAACTGGTTAGTTCCTAAATGAAAACCAGTAATTTGCTTTAGTTGCTGGTCTTTTAAGAGTAAAATAATTTAAGTTACAGGAAACAAATCAGGAAGGCTCAAATCAATTTTAGTGGTAAAAAAAAATCAAGTAGGCATTTGTCTTGGTTTCTTAATATGACATTCCAAAATTGGATATCTGGAAGGCTGTGTCCTCAGAACTGAAGTGACACGTCCTGGGCATCTGGTAAAGTTCCCTGTCTATGCTATTGTCTATGGTATATGAGCTTTTTCTGCAACACCATCAAGCATGGTAGAATGTGCTGACTGGGGGGTTTCTCTGATTCCTTTGACAAACGCATTGAGAAGGGAAAGCTTAAAAGAGATATTTGCATCGAGTGTGAGTACACCCTTCCTTTGAAACATATAGTGTGTGCAATTTTAACACGCAAATATTAAACTCTTCCCCTTGGCACTCCCGTCCCCTTAACGTGTATGTGGAGAAGAAATGAGAAACATAACAGGAAGAACAGTTGCCTGCCTGCAGATTTAGTGGGAAATGAGAAAATTTTTTTTGCTCAGGCTCGGTTTTTAAGATCAGGAAAACCACCTGTGGATGAATCAGATTCTAACTGTGCGATCTGTCCATAAACTAAACGACAGAGGTGATCAATAAATCGGAGTGAGCTTCCACAAACAAAACTTGGGTAACTCTTAAGATCTAACTAGTGACAACAGCAGAAGCCTGCGCAGCTGGTGCAGGGGCTGGCGAGGGTGAGGGCAGCTGGAAGGACGGCTGACATTTAGGTCTGGTGACTTGTCAAACAACGAAGAGAAGCAGGAGAAGAAAGGAAAAGATCTCTTAAAGGATATTTGAGAACTAATGTAGCCTCACCAAAAAAAGAGCGAAGGCTTCCATTTTGTTTCTGAAGAATTTTGAAATCCAACCTATGTACTCTTCACAGATTTAACGTGAGGTCTTTTTCTTAAGTGCATATATAGGAAGGACACTGTCATCACTGGGACCTCTCTAGAAATCCTGAAACTTTTCTTAAATCCCCTGTACCAACTGCTGTCAAAAAACCCCTTCAGAGAGAAGGCAAAAATAGTGAATTCCAAAGAGAGGGAGTTTCTGTCAAGTTCTGCGTCCAATGAATTTCAATTTCAAGACAACTCAACCAAGCTGAGTTAAAAAGGAAAAGTGGTGTCCCAGGGTTGCTTGTCTGGGTCCAGTGAGACTCAATGTTCACAAATGGAAAAGTTCAAAGACTAATTTATCTAATCTGCAAACAGAACTCACCTACCTACGGAAAAAGATTACAAACATCTTACAACCACTCCACTAACTGGGTAGGTTAGTCACAGTAATGGAAGCTGACACCGAGACTCTGCTTTGAGCTATCAGTGCATTTTCAGTGCCAGGCACACCAACTGTGTGCTCTGTGGGAAGACCTACTGGGGACCGGACAAGCTCAACTGCTAGCTTTTATCCACATCATCAGTGGCAAGAACATTCCACTGTATACTAAAATGTATATTGGTCTTAGACTTGGAGTATTTGCCTGCTGTGCCATTTACCTGATGTGTAATTTTGCCCAAGTTTGAGCATCACTTTCTTTTTTGTAGAATGGACATAATACCTACCTCAAAAAGGAGTTGTGAGATTAATGTAGAAAAGAATCCTTTGTAAACTACATGGAGATAGCTGCACATTTTCATGTTATTTTTGGAACTTGTCTCACCCCAAATCAGTTTGAGCCCCATAAATCTTTTTGACAAATTACTGGCCAAGAATCCCTTTTTTGACAGTGTAACCCATAGTAGAACCTCAACTTGATGTTTTCTTTGAAAACTTATAAATACGTATTTGACTGACTTTGGGCCCGTGCGCCACAAGATAGAACAATCAGTCTACTTAAGAAACAAGTCCTGTCCAGTCACTTCCTGCTTGGCCTCGTTCTGTGTTCCCCTTTCTAAGGCTGCAGTGTGCCTCTCTCACTCCTCTTCCTACTGCCTGATGAGAGGGCAGCGGGGAAAAGCGCTGTCTGCTGAGGATGAGTGTGTGTCTCATGATACTGTGGTTTGCGGCACTGTAAGCTTTTGTCTCTTCCTTTTCCTTGTCCCCTTTTTTCTTTAAACCAGCATTTTTAAGTCTCTTGTAGATTACTTATAGATTTAAGAGATTTTCAACAGAGTGGTCCATTTCTCCCCTGACTTTGCCCCACTATATCTCAAGGCAGAATTATTCACACTCATTTGTGTAGAGAGGGAAGCAAATTAGTTTCTTTTGCAGTACGTTCATAGTGAAACACGATCAGAAGAGACATCTGTTCTCAGTCAATCATCTTAAGGTTTAATTAGGACTCAGTTGTTAACTTAGTATCACGGGGCTCATACAGTTATTTATAATTGTTAAGATTTCTGAAAGTATAGCATCCAGAGGTTGTTAGTAGACTGTAAGCTTCTTAGGGAAAGGCTTGTTCTGTAGTCATCTTGATAACCTCAGAGTGCAGCTAACGGAGTCTTTCCCAAGCTGGCAGAAGCCCAGGGCTCTTGGTCCATCTTGTTCTTCATTCACATTTACCAATCACGGCTGAGGAGTGGATGGATGTTTGTCGTTGTACAGATGGTAACCAGTGACTAATCTTTCTAATCTCAGGCATGCTTTTACATTTACATGGCTCGTGAATTCTTGCCTTTTTGTGGGTTAATGGCAAAAAAGGAAATGTTCCTTACTCCTGCTTTAATGTATACAAGGGGATTTTATAAATTGTCAGAAGCTGGCACACGTATTAGTATTCTTCTTGAGTTTTGTGCTGGCAGTTAGTCTCAATAGGAGAAAGGACCTATTTAGAGCACACTTTTCACTTCTCTCCTCAAAATTTTGAGAGGATGGAGCCTGGGAATGGGGACAGAAATTTCCACAAAGTGGCCAGGCCTCTCCGGTCCCAGCCCTCAGTCTGCAGGTGACTGCTGTCCACTCGTGTGCTGCCCAGAGTAAGCTGGCCCAGCCCCCCGGGCCATCAGCCTCCCCTGAGAAGTCACCCTGGTGATTGCGCTGCTAAATCGTGGGGAAAGATGACCTCTCCTTTCTGGGATCAGAAACCGATCAAAAGCAACATCTGGTTTTTATAATATCAAAATGGAATCACTGAGTTCTATGGAAGACATGATTTATCTTTGTAAATTTTGAGAAAGAATAGAGGCACAATCTCTGAAAGACTAAAAGTTTACAAAAATTTTAGACAAAAGAGCTAATTTTTAATTTCCTGGCATGGTGATGAACATCTTTGCTTTGCTAAATCACACATACTAACATGAAAATCTATTAAAAAGACGTCCAAGTACCAGCCAACGTCCCAGTTATTTCAGATAACATTTGGCACAGCCAGAAGCAGTGTGGCCGGGGTCCAGGGCAGGCTCTGAAAGTGTCTGCCTTGCAAGTCCCTGCAGCATCTTTGAGGCTTCCTAAGCTTTCATCCATATTAAGGAGAATAAGAAGGCAGCTTTACTTACTTCCTTAACTGACAGCCCTTTAATCTGGAGAAAGAAGGAACTGTGTGGTTCTAGTAGGGCATTCCACTGACTTCTTGACATTTTGAGGCAATGGCCGAGGCTCTCTGAGAGCAGCAGACAGTCCCATTAAACTTCTAGAACTGGAGAATTTCTCACAATTTCTTACGCTTGGCGGCCCTTCCTGGGCCTTTTTAAGGGGCTCTGAGGCACACCCAAAGTCCAGTCCTATAATCAAGATGCGGACACCATTCACCTAGTCAGTGCTCCAGATATGAGGAAATTGTCATGCCTAGAGAATTTACAAATTATCTCCATGAATGTTCTCTCAGTTACTCCTCACAACTCTGGGAGGAAGGTTGTAATCTTCTCCATTCTACAGATCAGGAGACAAAGCTTACAGGTGAAGTGACTGGCTCTAGCATCTCAGGCATGGAGCTGGGATCCAGTCTAGATCTGTGGTCCCTTGTCAGAATGCTTTCCTGTCTGTTGCTCATCTGAACCTTCCCATCAGCTGTGCCTGGAAGATACTGGTTCTGTGGGACTACACAGCAATGGGTCACAGGGGGTTTGTAAAACCTACCTGCTGACAAGCAAATAAGACAGGGCCAGTGGCTAACCCGAGCTTCAGATCGGCTGATGTCGGTTTGCCCATCTGGTCAGAGCACGAGGTGAAGTCCAGTACATCATCTATCAGCTAGCAAAAGGGAAAAAGCAATGTCAAGGCATCACCAGCCCAGCCTCACCGCCGTCCTTCCCACTGTACCAACAGGCCACGTTAACAAAGCAGCGGACCAACCTGAAAAGCTATTCCCACATTTTTTCCGTACTGATAGGCAATCTCATGCACCACTGGGTCAGGGCATCCCAGGACCGAGACCTGCAACAGAGGAGAATTCTGAGATAAGCCACTGGGGGCAGAAGCAAGGCAGCCAACCCCGGCACGGAAGGATTCATACGCCTGTTCCCTTAAGGAGGAGTGAGGCCAGATTACGTACAATCAGGAAATGCTGATACCAGAAGGAGAGCAAACGTCTACAAAGTACCTGTGTTTAATGAACGATTTCAGCCTCAGATTGTTTTCTTAAATTCTAAGGAAACTATGCTTTTCTCCCCCTTTCACAGGATAAACCATCTTTCCCACTGCTTAAGAAAAACCGAGAAATGCTGGCTTCTAGCTCTCAGCAAACTCAGCCCAATGGTCAACTCTATTTTATTTTCTATTGATTTAGCTCTATTTTAGGGCTAGATATGTAATCTGATCTAATCGCACACGTGATGTTGCCATATATATACTTCCCTATCTGTAGTCTTTTAATAATCGTGGCTCTCCCACTTATTTCTGAGATGCAGTTACTTCTTGCTGTGTCTGTGACAGCGTGCAGCCTCATGCTTCTGACATAGATGTACTTATTTTACTATCAAAGGATCCTAACCAGTGCTGTTTCCATATTTCTTTCACAATAAGTAATGTAACTGTTTAAAAACTATATTTTCCCCTTTCAGTGGGGGAGAAACAGTTCTTCTAAGTCTTTTTTAAAACTCCAAAAAAACTAGCTGGCACTGGCTGCTTGCGTGCATTTCCCACTGCTCTGCTGAGCATGCTAAGCAGGCCCTGCCACATTTTCAGAAAACAAAGACTGGGTAAAAACCAAAAGGGGGAAGGGAGAGACCTTCTGTTCTACTGGAGAGGAAATGTCTCCAGGAGAAAGCCAGATGGAGCATGTCATCTCCATTCTGTAATGGGCCCTGTCCCCTGACTTCAGCCCTGAGCTCTGTGGTCCTCTGGTGGGGGCCCCACTTTGCTCGGGCATCAGTGTGGAACAGTGTCGTGGGCTCTGCACTTCGTCTGCAGGGTGCACTTATGCTCCTTACAATTACCACGTGACCTCAGCGTGTCCCTTAATCTTTCTGTGCTTCAGTTGCCTCGTCTTTAAACCCCAGGACCAACAGCTCTTCCCTTAGAGGGCTGCTGTGAGGGAGACAGGTGATGCTACTCATAAACTCTGGTCATGACTCAGTCTGTTTGCTGCTATTGATAATAATCCTCCTCCTCCTCCTCCACTGGATATAGAGACAGGAGCCTGGGAGTGCCCATGCACCTCCGCTAATTACAGCCAGTTCCCATAACTTGCTCAGCCCTGAGAATGTTTCTGACGACGTAATGAAGCCTGCGACTGTGTGATGTTTGGCCATTCCTCCTCGACAAAAATGCACACAGCATAAAAAGTTCAGCGGCCACTTACTGGAGTGAATAACAAACTCATACCTGCTTTCAACAGCAGAGACCTCACCACTGGCAGGCACTGACCAGTGGGCTACAGGGAGGGAGCCCTCCTCTTTTCAACTGAACTAAGGAAGCTTTGAGACCACATGGGAGACGATTTAGAAACTTGGAAAGAAGGCAAGATATCCATCAACTTGGCTAAAAGAATGAGAGTGTGGCAAGATTAGGGCAGCCTGGGATATGCTGAGCTCACAACACAATAACCCCCCTTTTCTAGGCAGAAGTCGCCCATCAAGCAGTCCCTGGAGAGGTGATTGCCGTTCCTCAACGTTCCTCAGCAAAGCAGCACAGAAATACAAACTTGCTTCCTGACAAGTACAAGATTCTTAAACACTACATTCTATTTCTAAACTTAATGAATTAAAATTTATGGAGGACATATGATGAGCACTTTACATGATCTTAGTTAAACCTCACAGCATCCCATAAATATCCTTTTGTGGTTGATGATGCTAAGAGCTAACAATTCCTGAGCTCTCAGGGTGTGCCAGGTACTATTCCGAGCTCTCTCACAGATAACTCACTGATGAGGAGGACCTGAGGCACAGTGGGTACCAGGTGATCCAGAGCCAGGAAATGGAGGAAGCAGAATCTGAACGCCAACAATCTGGCTCCAGAGAGCATTCTTTTCATCACTTTGCTATGCCACTTCTAACGGGCAACAAAATGGAAGCTCAGAGGTCAAGGACTGTGCCCAAGTAAGCATAGAGCCATGAGGTCTGTCTGCACTGCCCACTTCTAGCTCACATGTGCTAAGACAGAGATGAGCTACTTTTTAGTGGGCGGCTTCTGCCTTGCAGGCTGTGAAGGGACATTCCTGCTCAGACTTCAACTAGTGCAGTGTAAAGACCATTGCTCACTCCCCCCAGAGAATCCTGCTCCCCCAGCCCAGGCACAGGCTGTCTGGATCTGTTATCACAACCAGGAAAATCAGAAGCAATGCAACGCAAAGACCCAAAAGGAGGTATGCTGACGTGAAATGAACACTGCTTGTTCTTAGCCTCAGAGCAGAGACGCCTCATATCTTTCTGGAAGTGGGTGGAGTGCAAAGAAATGATTAAGTAAAAGTGGAGCTCAGCTAACTGTTGTGTTTGAAGCAGGTCCACAGCCAGGCCACCTGCATCTTTCAGGAGAAGGCCCACACCTCTCATGAGCCTTGTCTCAAAAAGATTAGGAAATGCTGTTGGCATCGGTAGGGGCAGAGGACTTGACGTTTATCAAGCATCCCTATGTCTGAAGTGCATGTTTGCACCACTGTGGAGAGAGATTCTGATGAACACATATATGCATCATGGTCGTCTTTATCAAAAACAGTGGAGATTACTGGAGCTCCACCATTACATAAAAAATATCAAAACAGGTTGTCGTCAAAAACCAACTGAAAATATTGGGGGAAAACATATACGACACACTATCACACGTAAACAGTGAACATTCTTAATCTACAAAGAGCTCTTAAAACTGAGCAGAAAAAAGACAAAACACCCCCTAGAAAAATGGCCAAAAGACACGAACAGACAATTCACAAAAACTCAAGATATAAAAGGTCCTTAAGCATCTGAAGAGATGTTTAACTTCAGCCAGAAATATACTACTACAATATACTACTTCTTGTTGTAAGACAGGAGGGGAAATAGCATACCCACGTCTGCTCATTTGTGTGAAAAGAAACAGGAAGGAGGAACGAGAAACTAACGAGACAGTTAGTTAGGGGGTGGGTGAGGAGGCCGGGTACTGGGAACCGGCTGAAGGCATGAGAGGCAGTTACCTTTTTGTACAGTTTGTAATGTGTCATCCACTCAAAACAATAACCTCAAAGCTAAAACACAAATTAGTAAGAACGGAACCCCTAAAATGGAATAAAAGAGAACCTAACTATATTTCAAATAATAACATGACCACACTGAGCTGGGGAGAAAGGTAACTTCTGAACACAGAACTTTAACTATATTATCCTCAGGCTAAAGGTAAAAGGAACTGCAAACCAACCCTGAACTGCTAGGTTTTTCACAGAGATGGGGGGTACCCATTTTTAAACCCCTATGGTATATTCGAGGATTGGGCAAACATACGGTGGAGAATGGGAGCCAAGTTTCTTACTGTTGGGGAAGGGAGTTACAAATGTGGGAAGCCCTAATGCTAGAATAAATCATGAATCCTGTGGTATGAGCTATCAGTATGCTAACTTAGGGTTTTAAATAAACAAAAATGGATACAGAAAGACATAGAAATATACATAACCCACACATAAATTCCCTATCTCTGTCCATTGGGAGGGCCTGGAAGCAATGATACCTGGTGCCCAGATCTTGGTTTCTAAATACCATTCTCCAGCAGAAAGAACCAGGGCTCCTTGGAGAAATGATGGTTCTCAGCGCAGGGAAGGACAAGATGAGCCTAGAACATCTCCTGCCAGAAATTAAGGAAGTGTGACAGAATGACAGGGATACGTTACAAAGGCACAAGAGCCAGGTTAAAGGGCCTTCTTCACTGGCCAAATACAGGACAACTGAGCATTAAAATACATAACAATAAAGGGTTATAATCCATAGAGTAAAACAGCAATCCAAGAGTCCATATAGATAAGGTCTTCCTTAAAAGAGAATACCAACTCTATTGTAGAAGCGAGACGTAGAAGGAATGATGGATTAAGAAAACTGTCACGTGGCAAAAAATCAGGGTGACTATCGCCTCAGTAAAGTTATCATAAACAGATGCTAAACCCAGAGAGGGAGAATTTGATAAGAAACAGAATTACTGATGTGATTTCAAAATGCCTCCCCCAAATAGGGAAAAATAGGAACTTTAAATAAAGTGAAGAAACCTGGCAGACACCACCCTAATCACGGGATCAAAGTGAATCTCATCAGTAATAGGATACAGGGACACCAGGCACCCCCTGATGTCATGAACTGACAAGACAGCATCGCTCCTGTTGTATTCCTGCCCAAAATTCATAACCTGTGTCTAATCTCAAGAAATATCAGACAAACCCAACTCGAGAGGCTCAACAACATAACTGGCCTGTACTCTTCAAAATATCAAGGTAATATAAGAACAAAGAAAGACTGAGGACCCAGATGAAAAGATTCATGACAACATGAGATCCTGGACCAGAAAAATTTTTTTCCCTTTTGTTATTAACAATATTATGACAACTGACAAAATTTGAATAAGGTCTATCAGTAGATTAGATAAGAATATCATAACCCCAAAATAAGAGTATTCTGCAAATATGACCCACAAAACAAAGTTCCATGACGCACTCTGTAGCTTTGAAAATAAAGTAAATAGGAAGACAGCCCATTGATTCCAGGCCACATGCAGCACTAGAGAGAACAGACATTTAGAGAAAAACAAATGAACGCAAGATTACCATACCCAGTTCTGGTTTCAAATGCCAGCACAGCCACTGTCTGACTGACTGACACTAGATGGGCCCCCGGGCCTCTCAGGTCTCATTCCCATCAGATTTTCCGGGGAACAAGTGACAGCCATCATTGGTAAGCTACAGAATGTACTCTGCATGACTACGTATAAATAAATAGCCAATTATCTTTGAAGCTTACTTCTATTTTAATATCAGTGTCACAAAACAATCCTAGACAGTCCTTAGATTTTCATATTATTTCCACTAAAAATACAAAGAGTCATTTAAAAGGGGGAGGGGGAAGAAATGGTGTCCTTCGACACCATTAGAACGAATTAAAAGCTGCTACATTTCCTTCAAATTCCTGTAACACCATAGAATTCCACTAGTTCTTCTGTAATAATTCTGAAGTTTAAATTCCCCCTTATCCTCTCTTTTTGGCATCTCTAACTTGCTTTGCATGCATTCTTTTGGAGCCCACATGTCTTTGCATTTTAGACACCAGGACTACACAAAAATAGCAATTTTGAATATATAACACCTCTGGAATATTTCTACCCATAGGCACCTAAATATAGAAACTTTTATTCAGAGAGCTCATGATTTTGTTTTATTATTCTAACAGCTCTGGAGTTTAGGAATAAATCACATGAAAAGTGGCTAGTTCCGTGATGATGCCAGCATGCCTCCTAGTGGACAGCATAAAGTATTTCATTTTTAATAAGGGCCATGCCATGTTAACATACATGTCCATTGCTAACTTGCTAATCTGTGAGGACCGAGGTGCTCTTTATAAACAAACACGTGCTATAATATCTTTGGCATCTTAAGCACAGGACAGGGACTGCACTAAGCCTTTCCTTGATTACTCAGGTCCGTCTCCTTGGCCCCTTCGTAGGATCTGATCACTAAGTACATCAGCTCCTGTTCTGGCTCCAACATGGCGCTGCTGCCTGTCTGTGGGGGGTCCACCTTGTGTGGACAATGACTCCCTGTCGTTCAACTTCGAACAGCCCCACTACCTGCTAGTGCTTCGAAGTGCAATCTCAAGCTTGTGAAATCATCAGCGAGCTTCGCTTAACACACCAGTGTGCCTTATAAGGATGGATCTCGAACTCCATGGAGATTCTGGCCATCAAGGATCTGATGACCAATGAAGGATTAATGTCACAGCTTTACGACTCCCATTTTAGGTAGGTCATTCTTTTAATTAGCATTCTAGTGTCTATCATATTTTTAGCCATCTCTCTTTTTTAAAAAAGCAAACTAGCAATTTCTTGGAAATAAAATAATAATCCTTTCAATAAACACAAAAATGGCTGAGATCGTGGCCAGCATATTCTACATAATTCACATTCCTTAGGGTTTCAGTTAGGTCATTTTAGGAAGAAAATGTTGTCCTGGTTCCCTTCTGGCTCACAATTATACATTTCTTGACACTCTTCAAAACAGACACACTACTGGCAAGGGACTTCTTCACCTGAGAAAAAGCTCTCTGTAACTGTAATGCTCTTAAGAGTGTATCATGACAGCAACCGACACATGCCCCAGAGAGAGCTTCCTTGCTTGTTGCTACAAGACTTTATGCCCAGGTGTCATCTCTGTTACCTCTGCTAGGCCGGGACACAGTCAGATGAACAAGACTATGGAGGGAACTGTCTCTCATTCTTGGGCTAGCACTGAATACCTTATTTTAGTCTACAGATTACGGATGATAATACTGACTTTTAAAGAAAGAAAACTAGAGCCAGCCCTGAAGGCTTAGTGGTTAAAGCTTGGTGCTCTCATGGCTTCAGCTGCCCAGGTTGGTTTCCCAGTCACAGAACCTCACCACCTATCAGTAGCCATGCTGTGGTGATGGCTCACATAGAAGAAATAGAAGGACTTAAAATTAGGATATGCAACCATGCGCTGGGGCTTCAGGAAGGAAAAATAAAAAAGGAAGATTGGTAACAGATGTTAGCTCAGGGCGAATCTTTCCCTGCAAAAATAAATAAATAAATAAAATTTAAAAAAGAAAACTATGTGGGGAGTGCAGAGAAGGCCAGGGAGAAAGCAAGGGAAAAACAAGTTATGGTTCACACTCGATTTATACCCTGAAGAAAATTGGCTTGTTTATATTTCCTGTAAAAATATTGGGAGGATCTACCACTCATAAAAAAGGACAAAGAGCACTAGACTAGTACAGTCTAATAGATGTTTTCTCCTGGGTAAATATTATATTTAAGAACACAGCGCTTCACAACTTTTAAAATGTAAGACGTCAGAAATAGTGTGTGGGACAACAATCAGGAGAGAAATCATTTATGATAAATTGTTCAAAATTTTACACAGTTTGGAAATGAGATTGGGGAATACATTATAAAGCTTCACTCTTGGGAGGAAAAATAAAAGTTAATGCCTGCATTAGCAAAAGACGACGGCAAAAATGGAAACCACAGCAGAAGTTCTCTCTTTGTTTAGGGATGTACTTCTTTTCTCAATGACCTCTTGGGATTTTGGTGACTATTTTAAGATTCTCCAGTGAAATTTTTCTAGAATTAGCTCCCAAGAAGAAGCTATAAGGCTTTTTTTTTTTTTAACTTCAAAGAAGACAGAACGTACATACTGCTTTACAGCTGTTGGCTATCAGACTGGCAGTCTTCTTGAAGGTCTTTTCCAAGTAGTGTGCAAATCTTTCATTCTCATTTTCTTTCGACCCTAGCTGAAGAAATTCACCTAGAAAGAAGGAAAGGGGTCATTTGAGATACAGTTTTATACTGCTAAATACTAAGACTGAATAAAAAAGAAGAAAATGCAGAATTAACCTACCACGCACCAAATCTTCAATAACCTGGGTTAAAATAGATATAACAGTTGTATTTCCAATTCGTGCCAGAGCTATAGATGCTGCAGAAAGAATTAAATCTCCAGCAAGAACAGCCTAGAAAAGGAGAAAAAAAAAAAACTCTCAGAGAAAACTATCAGAGCAATGGAGCCAACAATGAGGTTGTCGTCTTAGAAGATAAATACAGAATGGGAGGGAGGGGTCATCTTGGATGTAAGCTTTTTCCCTGCCTCAGCGGGATTATATAATAATTAGTTACAGACTTGGGACATCGTTTGCACTGGACTGGCTCTCAGCAATTATGCAGTCTCTCTCCAGTTCAGAGCTGAAGAAATGAATGTCTTGAGATGAAAAGTACCTCACTCTCTCGCTTCATCTGCAGGCCCCACCAAAACACGGCCGCCTTCAGTTTAGTTACGCTGGACCACTCACTCTTTCCTCAAACTACGTTGTTGTGGTTTTCTTTTCACTTGTGTGTTGTCTTTTCACTTACTGTTTCTTCTGCTCAAAAACTCCTTCCCCTTCATTTAGCAGACTCACTTGCATAAATAGCTCAGCTGGCACCTCCAGGAAGTCCACTCAGATCCCTCTCTGCTGTGTGAGCATAACATGCCTTGCAGCCTGCTGTCCTTGCACTTTCCATCCCAATCAGTGATTTCCTGTTTACCAGCCTCCTTGAGGGCACGGACTGCCCATTAGCTCGGCCAGTACTTAGCCCACCCCAGCACATGGCACAATGCATGCTTTTCTCAGTGAACACTAAACCAAGGGATCTTGGCTCCAAGTTCACTGCCCTTTGCACTAGATTAGACTGCCCATTCTTCCTTCCCAGAAAAAATATTTTTTTCACTGAACATTAGATAATCAATATTTTTCCAATCTTCTTTAGATTGTGAGTCAATGTCCATACTGTATTTGCAACTAATTATAAATTATACATAACTGAATTATATGCTGTAATCGAATATACTAATCTACGTATTTCAAGATATGCATAAGCATTGTTATAGAGTAATTAGTTATAAATGCTAGAGTTCATAGCAATTTTAATTCACAGAATTTCAACATAACCACATTTTAAGTTTTTATTGTGCCTGTCAGTTCTCTAGTATTCAAAATTAGTGATGTTCAGTATGTTTACCAATTAATCATCATTTTATAGCATAAGCTATCTCGATAGAAATAGAAATATACATTTATCAAGTCCCTTACATATGGTGACTGACATGCACACAGATGTCTGCCCATTGGCCCCTGCGACATTAGCAGGTCAGGTCTAGGGATCTCTAGGCCTTCAACTCTTTCCTTTCCTGGCCCCGAGGTTCCTAGAGGCCACAAGATTGTGGCATATGGAACTGAAGCGTCCAAACTGGGGACGGCTGGGGTGAGGGGTGACAGGGAGGGAGGGCTGGGAACTCAGGCAGGGTCACGAGGGCTCAGGGAGGAGGCGCTGTGTGAATGGAGTTTTGATCCGTGACACAGGAGTCTGGGTTCAGAGGCGGGAGAGGGGAGGGGAGCGGCAGGTGGACGTGTGCGGGGCAGGCCAGCCTCACAGCTCACACAGGTGACAGTGGTGAACACATTCTTCCCCGCATCAGGGAGATCCCACAGCAGAGGCAGTCACGAGGTCACGGGAGCCCAGGAAAAGGCCTTAATTTATTCTTCGAATCCTCCTCCCCTGCCAAGGAAGGCTTGAGGATGGGCTCTGAAAATGGGCATAGCCCACCACAGGGACACATCATAATGTTACCCATGACCTCTCCGAAACGAAGCTCCACTCTCTTTTTACCAATGTTCTGATGTACGGGATTCTGTCAATAGGACACAGAACCCTTTAATCCAAAATTCCAAATAAAAGGCTTACAAACAAAATCGCAGGACTTGATGACACAACAAAGTCGTAAGGAAAACCAGCATGTGAAGACGACAGTTAACATCTATTTCTCCTTTTAATAAGGACAATTAAAAAACAGGGGTAACCAGGTACTGTGAATACCGTGCAAGGGAGGGGAAGGCGAAGAGGGGAACCTCGTCTGCACTATTGTTCTGTTTGTGCTTCAAGCAGGCAGGGCGGCCAACGGGGGCGCATGTGTGGAGAAGCCGCTCCTGAGAGCTCTGCACCTCTTCGCTTTTCTCTCTTCAACCGCATTCCCATCCCACAACCCATGGTTTAAGCATCCTCAAAGAAAATTCCCGATTTCGCACACTCCCTTTGAGAAATGCTAATAAAATACCATGGAAATATGCTTTTAAAATACAGATAGATGAGCCAAACCCAATTAGAGAGACTCTATTTAAAAAGGTAAAATTTTCATGGCAGAACAGTAATCCCCTGATATACTGATATCAGGGGATATATATATAAAAAGCTATATTTAACATATATAAAAACCATAACATAGATATCTTTTTGTTTTATTTATTTATTTGCTTTGACACTCTAGCACATGGCACTCAATAAACGGTTAAGAAATTGAACGAATTCTGAGTAATCTGAGCCCAAAAGTAAAATGTATGATCCCTCATGAAATAAATGGTTTTGGATAACTACAAAATCCCTTTTCTTATAACCAAAAGGAATTCTATATGTAACTGTGAATAACCAGAAATTCTGTTTACATTTCTATGGCATTATCGATTATCAAATACCTGAACACAGACAAGACATGAATCCTATTCTGAAAGTTGGAAGACCACATTTGAAGGAGGCTATTTAACTTTTTAAGGCGAGAAAGGTGAACAGTAAATGCAATCCACAGAGTGTGGGATTGGGTAAGCAAGATTCAAAAAGCAAAACACCGTACCTTCTTTTCACCCCAGATCTTATTAACTGTGTGTTTTCCTCTCCGAGAACGTGCATCGTCAATAACGTCGTCGTGAACCAGACTAGCAGTGTGGATCATTTCTGCAATTAAGGCTATGGAGCGCTGGCTGGCTTGCACATCTCTAGTTAACAGAAAGCAAGGCTTTTTAACACAGACGCCGCCTAGAACCTTCTCAGCAATCATCTTGTGAAAACTGGACATCGGATCTAGGACAAAGAATTTTATTTCTCTAAGAGAAACTGTGTAAAAACTGGGCTTCCCTACAAAGCCACTTCTATCACTTGGAGAACATTTTAAAAACGCGTGAGACACCCTGCCACGATGAGGTTTTATGGACACCACATTAAGAAGTAGAATTTATACGATTAAGCACAAAAAAGGGATTAACATCTCAGTAGTCTGGCCATCAGGCTGAAGGATCATCTTTATGTCCTAGAATAGCGGTCAGGGTCAGGGGACCAAGTTTACAATTAGGTCACAATTAAATTTCAGGGATGGATGGGGAAGAGAGGTGAGAAGCATTCTAAAAAATTCTATTGAAGAACCGATGATCATGATGGTCAAAGCTTTTAATACCGTCTTAAACGTTCAGTAAGAAGACCTCAATGACCAAGGCAGAATTTTTGTAAAAACTTTCTTCCAATTCATATTTAACCTTTGCATTAGAAATTTAAACTTTTATATCCCAGACTTAACATAAAATATAGGCTAAGCACTCTCAAGAAGATACATGGACGTGAGTTTTATAGCTAAGTGAGAATGTCCCCCAGTTTCTTTTTAATCATCATGATTATCATCCTCATTGCCTAGAGGAATTTTTAAAAAGCGAATTCCAAGAAAATCAAACTGGGGAAATAACCAACTGAATTTTCCGAACATAAAACATATCCTGACTTAGACACATGCTAACCAAATGTTTCACTTATTCCAAGAGCTTACTTTTCAAATATCATCACGTTATCTCTTAGAGGGGAGAAAAGTGAGGGACACTGAAATATGACTTTTTCTTTAAAAATCTAATCTGAACATCTGCAAAAAATAGTGCTCATTCTAATTCCTCTGATCTAGCAGAAAGCAATGAAAAATGAAGTTAAACTACATGAAAGATGCTGGAATTTAACTACAAATGCTAAATCAGCATGAAGAACATCTTCCGATCTTGCTTTAAATGTAATTGTAAAATATGGTGCTTTGCCGGCAACTCTTAGCTAAGATTTTCGAACTATACCTCAGAACCTTCAACTGCTTTTAGCCCAGAAATCAACTGTAAAGTGCTGCTCATTATTTATTAATATGTCAAAGTTATAACAGTTCTAAATAGTTCCCAATCACAACACATTCTTCCTAAGGGGGAGACATAATGCAATGGAGGGTAGGGACAAATGGTCCCATACAACCACTTTAGCAAATGAGAAAATGCAGGCCCAGATGGCTTCTAAGAGCTTGCTCTGAATCCCTCAGAGAGATGCTCACAGACTCGACAGCAGGAAGCTTGGACCTTAACTACTTTTCAGGTAAATTTATTGGACCCTATCTTATTTGAGTTGAATGTAGACTTTACAGTTGTTTTTTTAATATAAAGCCTTTTCAGAATATCTTCTCAACAGAATTTCGGTCTAATAAAGTACATACTTCCTACTGGTTAGTAACAGAACTTACCTTAAAACAACTGATAGGCCTCTAGCCTGTCTCATGCATTCATAAGTTGGGCACCACTTCCATTATCACCAACTATGTCAGCAGACAGGGGTTCCTGCTGGGAAGTTGCAGTAAAATGGCAGCGCTCACTGAGAGACTGGAGTTTTGTGTAATTTGAAGATATTAAACCAAAGACAAAGGTTTCTTAAAATATTTTGAAATTTCATAGCTTCTCTATCTATATGAAAATGCCGTTTGGCATAGCTAAATTATCGACTGATGAAATCGGGATTCTTTCTTAGAACGTTATTTGGCTTTGTGACAGAGCCCCTACGTAGGATAAGCATCTAATTCTGGATGCTTTATAATTTTATCTGATGTACTTTTTCCTATACAATTGGGCTCTACTGTGTGTAGCTTATATCTGGAAAATACTGCCACTGCTTATCCATAGCACGGCATAATGGGTTGGAACTAGAATTTAGAGGTGACAGAAAAATCTCACGCTATCTTTAACATGAAATCGCCCAAGTGCCAAAAACTTAAGTCACGCCTTCAAAAAGCTGGGTACCATCTCCACTTCCTGCTGTGAAATAGCTGCCATACTTCCCAGTTTCTGGGAGAGGTGCTAAGAAAAGCTAGACAAGCAAGACAGCGTGAGAAGAGGCCCTTGGCCTTGAAAGCTGGCTACCTCTGTACTTCCCACCTGCAGGAGGATGCGAGATGAGTCAGCCAGCCCCTCAGGACATTTGAGGGGTTTTGCCCTTTCATTGGATTTTGAAATGTTTGTAATGAAGATTTCAAGGATAGACAAAAATAGATGGAGCAACATAATGATCCCCCCACATACCTTTCATGCAGCTTACATGTGATTTAAATAAAATACTTTTTCCCCTATTCATGCTAATTCATTGTTTAAAGGCTTAAACAAATTACAGTCATGTGCTGCGTAACAATGTTTTTCTGTCAAAGACAGACAGCATATATGACGCTGCTCCTATAAGATTAGTACCGTACAGCTGAGGCAGGCTCTACCATCTAGGTTTGAGTGAGCGCGCTCTATGACGTTCCCACAAAGACAAAATCGCCTAACGATGCATTTCTCAGAACGTATCCCCGTCATTAAGCGACGCCTGACTGTACAAGTAAACCCTCAGTGTGGGAAAACCGTCTCGAAAACAAAAATCAAACCTTGTCAATTAGATTACTTTGGTTTGGAACAAATGAGGGAAGCAAATAAAATTAAATAGTAAATGTGGCTTCACTTTAACAACAGAGAAGCTTCTACTCTCAAATCTACAGGTTGTATAAAGAACAGAGTTCTCTTGTGGGATACAGAAGGCTCTAGTTCTATTTCAGAATGTTCTTCTGTTTGTTTCTTCAGACAACACTAAAAATAAATGCTTCACTTTGCTTGTTCGAACTTTGAAAAGCTTAGCGTTTCTTAAATCTATGTCCCTCATTCACCATGTCAGAATCAATACTCTTGAAAATGCAGACTGAGGCCTCAGTGAATCAGAATCTCTAAGGATGGGCCTCAGGAATCTGCATTTTTAAAGAGCCTGCTGGGTGATTCTGATGCACAAAGTTTGGGAGACACTGCTCTATCAAGTGGCGGGTATCCACTTGACTTAGGCCACACATGGAAGCTTTTCCGAAGAAGGGTTTTCGTACCAGCTCGACCCTTGCTGGTCCATGGTGGCACGGCCTCTAAACAATGGGCAAATGGAACGAGAGGCCACTCTCCTATCCTAAAGGTGACCTGACACTTGGGGGGTCAGTTCAAAGGTCTTGTGCTAATGACCCCCCAAGTCTCTTCACAGCCCAAGAACAGAAACGCTCAGCCGCTCTGAAGCGCACATTCACGGGAGGGGCCCTTCCTCTCCTCTTTCACGCTGCATCATTGAGTTTTCTGGGACATGAATGGATGCTGCATCAGTTTGGTACCCAAGCAGCTCACTACTTAACTTGCAAATGAAGTCTCCGTCTCTCTCTATAAAATTCTTCAGGATGCGAATTGCATTTCCTAGTTGCTACCTGAGCACAGTACCATATTCAAGTTCTCGGTCTGATGAGCAATCTATCCATACTGACTCAAGGAAGATTTTATCTTTATCTGCCACTGAATCGACGTGCAAGTTTGGGTCCTTCAACTATTGAGACCGTGGAGTGTGTTCTGCTTTCCCCTCTGGTCTGCTCGGTCAGAGCAGGGGGATCCAGAAGAGGCGCCTCCAGAGGAAGGAAGAAGCCCATCCAGGCTCGCTCTCTGCACTGATGCGATACAATGCCATGATAGGGTTTGTATTAGTTTCCTGTGGCCACTCTGACAAATTACCAAACCTGATGGTTTAAATCAACAGAAATTCTCTCACATTCTGGAGGCCAGAAGTCCAAACAATTTCACTGAGCTGAACTCAAGGTGTCGGCAGGGCCATGCTCCCCCTACAGGCTCTAGGGGAGAACCCTTTCCTCACCCCTCCAGCTTCTGTGGCTGTCGGCAGGCCTTGGCTTGTGGCCACATCACCCCAGTCATTGAGGCAGCCCTGCTCCATCTCCACATCGCCCTCTGCCTCCCTCTTCCAGGGATGCCTGTGATTGCATCGAGGGCCCATCAGACAATCCAGGATGATCCCCCTATTTCAACAATCTTAACTTAATCACGTCTGCAAAGACCCTTTTTTGCTGTATAACACAATACAGGTTGCAAGGATTGGGCCGTGGGTAACTTTTATGGGGCCATTTTTCAGCCTAACCCAGTTTCTCACTCCACTAGCCTCTTCTGTTGATGCTCGAATGTATCCTTCTCAGTGATCCGATTCTTGAAGTTACTTGATTTTATGGCATTTGTCTAAAATCAAGTTTGTCCTCATTACTGAAACTGCCTTGAAGTGTCACCTTCCACAGCAGCATTCAGGCTGAACGCGTGGGACTGAAGGAGCTCCTGAACGGCTCTTGCTCTCTGCCACTGATCTTTGGCCTCATATTTCCGTTTCCTGGGCTTTTTCTCTGGCCAGTGCAATTCTGTTCCCTTTTCTTGTATTCCTTACTGGCACACCGAGGATGCTACTAGCACAAACATCAAAGGTGCCTTCCATCGAAGGAATGGCAGAGTGCAGGGGGGATGCCTGTCAACTCAAACTTGCTAAGCAAGTCATCATCCTCAGCCACTGGCCATTTGCCTTCATAAACCCAAAGGAGCACACCAGGCTCAGAGTGACGTCTGTCTCTCTTTGGTGGGAATGGCGGTTTCAAACTTGATCATTACAGTCCTGAATTCATTAGCAATTTTAATATCAAGAAAAAAGAAGCGACATCCATGGGGCTGGCCCCGTGGCCGAGTGGTTAAGTTCACGCGCTCTACCTTGGTGGCCTGGGGTTTTGCCAGTTCGGATCCCAGGTGCGAACATGGCACCACTCATCAGGCCATGCTGGGGCGGCGTCCCACATAGCACAACCAGAGGCACTCACAACTGGAGTATACAGCTATATTCTTGGGGACTTCGGGGAGAAGAAGAAGAAAAAGAATCGACATCCAAGAGCGGCTGCTCCTAAGTATTTCAGATTTATCTCCAGATAAAATTGAAGCCTGCAAAGTTGCATCATAAATGACGCAGGGTTCGTGCTACTGTTTATTTACTTGTCGCTGAAGAAGCACTGCGGAAGTTTCAGAATCTTTGAAAATGTGGAGAGCGACCCACCGTGATGACATCTTAGACCTGCAACTTATCTAGGCTGGCTTGGTACAGGGCTTTCTCTGCAGGATCGAGGGTGCTGCAAAATAATGCAGCATTTGATTTTTTCAAATTGGGCACAGTTTAATGAAAGTGTGGAAGTCGATTCCCTCAGTGATGAAACCAGCCTCATCCTGGCATGGTGGGGGGTGGAAGATGGTGCTCACAGCTCATTCAAAAGCCCTACAGCCCTCTTGTTCTCACGGATGTCCTCCTTGGCCTTGACCTCACCAATGAAATGGACAACCATCTGGTTATCAAAATCTCCTCCACCTTAGCAGGTAGCCCTCATTAGAGTCTTTACTTCAAGATCCACTTTAATAATGAGTATGGATACATTAAAAGTGCCTTCTCCTAGGATAAAAACAAAACATTTCTTTTGGCACCAGCCTTCCTGCCCATCCCATAAAGAGCTGCCACAGTAGCTGGCTCAATGATTTGGAACACACAGAAACCAGGAATGGTTCCACAATGATTAGTGGCCTGCTTCTATGAATCATTCAAGTGAGCTGGTGCTGTAATGACAGTTTTGTTACAGGTTTCCCAGGGTAGGCTTTTGTAACTTCCTTTGCCTTTCTGAGAATCATAAAAGGCACCTCCTCAGATTTTTATCACACTTGGACCCTTGACCTAGTAACTAATGTGAAAACTGCATCTTATAATTTGTACCATCTGATCAGTTTGGCTTTGTAAACTGGCCTAGAGGGATTCAATGCCACTGGACTGTTTGCACAATCAAGTTCAACAGACCTGGGCCAAATACACCTTGAGTAGTCCTGTCATCCCCATCAATGGCAATGACATCCACTTTCCAGTGCTGGAAGATTTCCACACAGGAATGGATGGTGCCAAGATCAAAAAGTGCAGGTCCCTCCAATGAGGTTACTGAGCGGGATAGGCTTGACTTGTTTAAGAAAGATTAGACACTACAGCTGTGCTGTATGCTATGAGTAGAGCAATTTTATAGAAATCTATTTATTATAAAAGTTGTTTTTGGTCTGGATTCTTTGACAGAGTCAGTCCTGACCTACAGTCAGTTTGGGTTTTGCTCTGCTGCAACCTCTGTTGCAGGCTGGGTTCTCTGGGAAGCAGACTCAGAAGTTTAAAGTACAAGATGTCTACTGAGGAGTGCCCTTGGGATCAACACCTGAGGGAGGGAGCGGAGGAAACCGGACTGGGCAAATAGAGAAGTTTCTGGAAGCAGGCTCATCCACAGCTGTGGCTACCCCATAGTGCGCCCTAGAGCTAGAATGGCCCTTCACCTATCAGTCCCTGGATATGGGCTGCCTCAAAGAGCAAGGCCTCAGGTGAGAGGATTCTTTGCCTCAAAGGGGCTGAGGCAACAATACGTGGTTCAGCAGGCGGGGCAGGGTCCTTGGTTGAAGGGGGATCCGGGCGGGCAGCACATCTCAGAATCCACCACAGCTCTGTTTCCTGGGCCTTTCAAATCTCAGTCATCTGTGGTGTGCATTCCTACTTTACCTGCCCAGGCACTGTGGTTATCTGGATACAGAGAGCACAAATAAACATTGGGTCTTAAGCTTTGGGTGGGGCGCCACATTACCCTTTGAGAAGACATTATAAGCTATAGATACCGTTCCCCAGATATGTGCAAATACACAAAAAATTGTGCCTACAATTCTAAGGGGCTCACAGACCGCATAACTCCCATGGAGCCCAGGTGAAGAAGTCCCAGCACAGTAATCTAGTAGGGAGCATTTCATGGACAGCTGAAAAGCTTACTAAAGGACAAAGAGAAAAGTCAGTAAAGGTAGTCGCCCTCTCCCCCTGCCATTTCTTAAGGGACCTGTTCTATTCTGTTTTCTAAAATCTCCTCCAGGATTACCGTTAACCTATTTAAAACACATCTCGGAAGCAAGAAGATGATGTCTGCGAAGCCTCATAGGAGTTGTGGAACTTTGATTAAAGCAGATGAAGTGCTGGAATGGTTCTGGCGCCTCTGGGGTCTGAGGACGCCTCTGGTGGCACAGGCTAAAAACAGAGACTGTGTGTGTGGTCCTGCCCCTGAATGCTGAGCCACTTTTTTCCATATTCTAAGTCTTCCTCAGCAAGCAAAATCACAATGGCCCAAGTCTCCAGAATCTTCTCCTACCCATCTTCTTGCTTTGAGTAGCATGGAAGTAACAGCTAGATAGTCAGCCCATTAAGAGCCTGATCCGAAAGAGTCCTCATGAGGTAAGTACTCTCAACAACTTGGGGCCTGGAGAGTAACATTGCTAGGATGCTGCAGCGCCCCAAATGTGCGCCACAATCGCGACTCACACCCCAAGGCCAGATGCTGCCTCTGCCCGGGCCTTTAGTAAGGAGGCCCCGCTCTGATTCCTTACAGGAGAGTGAAGCTGCAGCTAGAACATCCCTGGAGAGGGCAGAACAGTTAAACTAGTGATGCCTTTTCTGTGCTATAGTCTCCCAGGTGCTCTGCAACCAACAATCTATACAGTTTCAATAAGGCAAACTGAGAGAATTTCCAACCACAGGGCTAACAGCCGACAGGAATTAAAGCAGTGCAGAGTATTTTCCTTCCCATGTCATCTCTGAGGGTAATGAACTGTATTATGTGTTAATCTGAGAAATTAAGAATATAAATACACTCTCTGCCTAGAACCGTGGTTCTCAACCAGGAACGATTTTGCTGCCCGGGGGACATTTGGCAATGTCTGGCTACATTTTTGGTTGTCGTCAACTGGGCTGAGGATTGGGGATACCACTGGCATCTAGTGGGTAGAGGCCAGGATGCTGCTACATCCTATAATGCACTCAACAACCCACAACAAAGAATTCTCTGGCCCAAAATGCCAGTCGTGCCAACACTGAGAAACTGTGCTCTGGAACACGTGAGATAAATTTCAACTTTGGTTCAGAAGGAGCATTTCTGCTCTCTGCCTCCAGGCGAAGTGAAAGTGGTCCTGATTATGATTAAAAGGTCACCGCTCCTTCAATCTACACTGCAAGCTTTTCCAAAGTCTGGGGGTAAGTGGCAGGCAGCCCTGAGCATGGTGTCGCGTGCCGAGGGGCTCAGCCGCAGGGCACAAAGGGCTGCGGTGGGCCGAGGCAAACATCTGCTCAGGAGCCACATCTGATGCTCATTCTTACAGCATCCTTAAAGTTAGCGCTGTCAAACCTGAGGCTTTCCTTAAAGTATTCTTCATTGAGAAGAGGAAATATAATACAAATGTTCAACCCTAGGGAAATGTATTAGTACATTATGGTCTACTGGAATTTCCATCAATAGATTACGTGATGCAAAAATAACAACTATCAAGACACTCCTGCAATGTGGTAGAGTTTAAAAAACAAGCGTAAACAAAGCAGAACACAAAATTATACATCTAGTCTAACTGAACCCAAGAGTGGAAGGACAGAGGATGACAAAGATGGCTGCATGACATAAACGGTAAATTCTTTTTCCTTTTAAGATTTCCTGTAATATTAAAATGTTGCTGTTGCTTTAGTATTTTAAAATTTTATATAGATTCAAAATACAAAAGTTGAGGCCCAATGGTGAAAATGCCTTCTTTTAACAAGATTTTTCTGGCACCTTTCTGAAGGTCCCAGGAAGGCAGGCACTGTGGCGGGTGTGGTGGCCAGAACCAGGCCAGGCTCATGACTTTACGACAATCAACCTTTGGACTAACCGCCCTGTGTATATAATGATTACACACGTCCTGGTATTCTTTACTTCTGAAGGAGAAAACTTAATTTGGCTTTCAAAATTTTTTCTAGAATGTTCATTTGCAGCTGAAGTTGTTCTTCCATGGACATTAAAAAGTGCAGAAAAGGAAGATGCCCAGACCAGATTCCAGAGCGACCTTAGCGACTCAGCGCCAGAAACTCCCCCTCACAACTGAATTCGTAAATAGATGCCACTTCTTAAACAGGAAACTCAATGGCACCCTTGGGAAGGAAAATTTGCCAAACGACAGAGGGCTGAAAGCAAGTAACTCACCGGGAGTTATCATGATGGCTATTACAGGCTCGGGCCATTAGCACCACAATAATTGGTCGAAAGGCTTTTCCTTTTCCATCAAAGTAATATTCAGACATTTCCTTAAGTTCTGTTGTAGATATGAGAAGTTCCTGAAATAAAGTTTCTGTGTGTCAATATGGCATCATAACTTGCACAAAAAGTCAACAGGATTTCTTTCAGGAAACTTTGTTTCTCCCCAAAACGCCCCCAGTACATAGCTGTGTATTCCAGTTGTAGGTCCCTCTGGTTGTGCTACACGGGATGCTACTTCAGCAGGGCCTGATGAGCAGTGCCATGTCCGTGCCCAGGATCCGAACCGGTGAAACCTTGGGCCACTGAAGCGGAGCATGTGAACTTAACCACTCGGCCACAGGCTGGCCCCTTACAAAACTTTGATTTGATCTCAGTGTACTCATTTCAGTTGAGAAATTCAGCACTCATGCTGGGAAAGGTTTCAACACTGTATGGCCACAAACCTGGCTGCCCAGTGGCTCAGCCCCAAGTCGCTTAAGTGCTAAGGCAGCCACTGCCAACTGCCCCAATGACTCCAAGAGACAGGAAGGGGAGGATGGCACTAGGTGGCTAGGGACTCTGGGCCAGTGACAGCTGGAGAGAGAAAGGAACTGGGGCTGGTAGCAGCTTGGAAGGTGGAGGGGAGAGGACAGAGATGGGGAGTGTGGGAGCCAGTGGCTGTCAGGAGCCAATGAAGCAGGAGGTCAGAGGGTGTCTGGGCTAGGGAGGCAAAGCTATGTATTAGGCGCAAGAAGACATAAGATGGAGGCCAGGGAGAAGCAGCCGAGGTCAGTAAGTCTGGCTCAGCCGTTATTTAGCAACAGGCATGTCAAAAGTTCACAGAGAAAGTTTAAGACCTGGTTTGCCTGACTGCAAGGAGCTTACAATTGAGTTGGGGAGACACAATTTTTAAAAATATGAAATATTCAGTGAATAATACAGTGGTAACTTGAACTATGCTGTACATTAAATGCATTAGTTCAAGAACGGAGAGCTCAGTGTGGGCTAGGAAAACTGAACATTTCACGGAGAGATAAGCTTTGACCTGCGATGATTAAAGCATAAGTAGGATTTTGATTTCTGAGGAGGAGGCAGAGCCCTCCAGGTGATGAGCGTGTGTCCATAGCGCCTGCCACTCAAGGACTTGCTGGATTGGATCAGAGCTGATCCCCCGGAAGCAGCAGGAGCTAATGGACCTGGAGGTCCCTCAGCCAGGCTCAGGTGAACATGACACAGCGTCCAGTCATTAACTCACTGAATGATCAACTCAGTGCCAAGCACAGCAATAAACTCAATGGTTACAAAGATAAATGAGACTGCTCCCTGCCTGCAATGAGTTCAGCATGTAGATGGGGAGAAGTAAAACAATAATTGCAATATAACACAATACGGTGCGATGGGTGCTGTCCCTGAGGTAAGTGCAGTCACTCTGGAGCACAAAGGAGGGACCTGCGGCTCAGGCCGAGATGAGGAGGACAAGAAAGGAAGGACAGGGCAACAGCAATGGGGTGGCTGACCTAAGGCTATGGAGGCTGAAGGCAGGAGGCAGCCTAGGAGGATGGGGAGGGGAAGGAGACAGATGAATGGAAGATCCCTCCAGGTTCCGGGGCGGTGCCTTCAATGAATATGAAAAACAGGAGAAAAAACAGTAAGGGAAAGCAGAGTTTCAGATATGTTGCTTTGAGACAGTTGTGGACGCTCCACAGAGTTGCCCGGTGAGGAGTTAGATGTATGGGTTTAGGAGAGCGAATTCAAACTGGAATTGAGATCTTCTTTGGGAGTCATAAGTAAGGCAAAGGGGATACAGAGAGAGGAGGGGGCCGAGAGAACTCCAGGGAACAGCAAAATTAAAGGGAGTAGGGTGGAGGGGACAGAGAGGACCCAGGAAGCAGACTGAAGGACGGCCCACGAACGAGGAGAACGGGGAAGTGCAGATGCCCGGGGAAGAGTTTCACAGAGTGGGGAGTGGTCAACAGTGTCCAATGTTCAAAAAAGTCAAGGAAGATAAAAACCAAAAGGGCCCACGGGATTTAGCAGAAGGAAGTGATGGGTGACCTGGGCAAAGGCACTTTCAGAGGAGAGGCTGGAAAGGAAGGCACAGTGTGATGGTGGAGTAAATGTGAAGGGGCAAAACAGAGAGAGAGGGTAGAGGGCACTGTAGTGGGAAGGGAAAGGCTGGGACACAGGGTCAAGGGACCGTCATTTACACGAGGAACATGAAGAAACCGGAGCACCTAAAATATAAATGTGAAAGAGACACGAAGAGGGAGAGTTTGCAGACAAAGGGGAAAGAACAGGCCACTGCAGGAGCAGTTCCTAAGGCACTGAGGAAGAGGCAGAGGGGCTGGGTCTTTACTGGAGGTAAAGGGACTATTCTGGAAAGGAAGGGAACATTGACTTCACCGAGACAGGAGGGAAGGGGCAAGCACGGAGACAGGTGCAGACGAGCTTGTCAATGGTGACAGAGCAGGGGGAGGTCCTGTTCCATGGCCTGGACTTGGCCCATCAAACAGGAGGTGGTGCTGCTGTGAAACAGGACAGTGGGGTGGGTGCTGGCGGCGGAAAGGGGAGAACCTCGACAAGACAAGGAAGCTGACGAGGGGCCTGTGGACATTTCTGGGCAACATTTGAGAATCCACGCGAGGTTGGGAGCCACTAAAAGTTTTTTGGGAAAAAGGTGTTTAAGGCTTTCTGCCCTATTTGGGGCCGTCCGGCACCGATATTCAGAATTGGATAAGGAAGAGAGTAGCAGGAATCACCAGAGGCTTCAGTGTGTTAACAGGCCTGGAGTAGGTAAGCAATCGGAGAGAAAGGTTAGATAACTCATTGGACAAGTAAGTATGTGCTGCGTGTACGGTTTTTTGCAGTTTCCCAACTTGGCAATAACCTCTTTCTGGATGGTAACACGTATTGCATCCTCCATATTGCCCCACAGTTGTTGCTCAAGAAACATCTGAAACTTGATAGTCGTGTGTCAAGTTTGCAATAGCATCATACGTATCTGGAAATCTGCACTGTTTCTCATAATTCTAAGAAATCAACAGTAGTTCGTAGCATCATCAGAACTATCTTACCTTTCTAATGTCCTCATACAGACCTTTCAAGTCCCTCCAACCAAGTTTAAAAGGATCAGTGTATTTCTCACCACTCCGTGTCTTACTACAACAGCACGCGGCCGACGTTGTGTGCTGGAACCTGGGACAAGCACAAATGCACACAATGTAAGTCTGAGTGCTATTTTATTAGGTGAGATAATTTCATTTTTAAGTAAAAATTATATACACATGTGCATATAGTTATATATATAGTTGAGTGAGATGATGGAAAACTTAAGCCCAGATACTCGCTGGAAATTAAGCTCGAATCCAAAACAGTCATTAAATTTAGAAAGGCATACAGAATTATGTTCTTGCTAAACACTACATCAGTAGTACATTTTTATAACCAGGGCCTTGAGAATCCACAAAAATCAAAGAAAGACTTAACTATGTTCATTGTGTTCTGGGTTGAGTTTAAATTTTATTAAATTCTCATTTTTTGAAGAGACAGACCACACAGGGTAGATATTGTAACATTTAGCTAAACAACATTAAATTTGTGGGACTAGCCCACTACATTTTAGAATAGAAATTCACTGGCCATACGGTTAATAATTTTAGTAGTTACAACATAGATTGTAAACTTACCTTGATATACTATACATATTTGGAAAGGCAGATGTTAAACTCTTCACAAGATTAAAATAGGATACCTATAAAACAAAAGTATCAAGAAACTTGTAAGAATATGCATGAAAAACTTGTTTCTAATACTAGATGCTCTCATAATTCATAATAATCTTTATCTTTTAACGTCCATTTCTAAGTAGATTGCAAACTTTCAAAAAATGACAATGTCTCCTGCTTACAAAAGCAACATTTGTCACTACGGAAAATATAAATAAGAAAAAAGCAGAAAATAAGAAACATCTATAACCCCTCCCCCCAAAGAAAGCCGGTTTTCACACTCATGTCTATCTTTCCAGATCTGAAAGTAGTTTAAAGACAATTATTTCCATTTAACTAGGATTGGTCAGAGAATAGTGAAGATCGGTGTTACTTACACGCTTTCAAATTCTTAAATTGATTTAAAACAAAGAATCATCAAGATTCCAAAGGCATCAGCCCAGATGGTGAAAAGGAAAAGATTTCAACGCTAAGGAAGGAATTTATATTTGAATTTTTTTTTTTGAGGAAGATTAGCCCTGAGTTAACTGCTGCCAATCCTCCTTTTTGCTGAGGAAGACTGGCCCTGAGCTAACATCCATGCCCATCTTCCTCTCCTTTATATGTGGGACGCCTACCACAGCATGGCTTGCCAAGTGGTGCCATGTCTGGACCCAGGATCTGAACCAGCGAACCCCAGGCCGCCAAGAATCGGAATGTGTGAACTTAACTGCTGTGCCACCCGGCCGGCCCCTATATTTGAAGTTTTTAAGTGTGGCTAGGACAGTACTGAACTGCCTATTATAACTTATTGTTCCTAAACACACTCGGAACTGGTGCCTCTTAATAAGTAATGTTAAGAAGCAAACAAGTCCTGCAACACATTTTGGTGATATGAACTTAATCAGAGATCAACGAACAGGACACTACTTCTAAAAGATTCAGAGCTGGTGACAATAAATTTTAGTTTCAAAAATTATGGAGCACTATCATGGGCCAGGAATGTGACAGGTACTGGGGACCCAAGTCTGCCAGGCATTTCAAAAATAACTAACTTATTAATTTAATCTAACGTTAAGATTAGATCAATCTTAACAAGGGCTTTTATAGAGTATTTGAGGCAAGCATTTTGACAAAAAAGACGAATTTAGCACAAGAAAAATAGAACTCATCTACTCTATTAGTAGTAAAGTCTTGCAACATGCTTTTACACTATTATTTTATCCTCACAACTACTTGCTTTATTACAGTTGGGAACTTGAAGTTCAGAAAAGTCAAAGTCTGAAAAACTGATACACAGATATGTTTACACTACATCAAAGGAAAAAAGCACCTACAGGACTGTGTGCATTATGTGATCCTGCTAAAAATGTATACACACACACAAATAAAATACATAGAGAATAGGGTTTGGAAGCATATAAAACAGGATAGTAAACATTGTTATTTTGGAATAAATAGATTTGTGGGAATTTTTGTTTTATTCCTTTTTTTAATATTTTCTTGTTTTTCTCTAGTGAACATATTGCTTTATACATAGTAAAAAAAAAAAACCATACGTGGGCTGGCCCGGTGGCATAGTGGTTAAGTTCACGCGCTCTGCTTTGGCAGCCCAGCGTTCACGGGTTTGGATCCTGGGCGTGGACCTGCACACTGCTCATCAAGCCACGCTGTGGCAGTGTCCCATGTACAAAATAGAGGAAGACTGGCACAGATGTTAGCTCAGGGCCGATCTGCCTCTTAAAACAAAAACAAAAACAAAAACAAAACCCATAAAGGTTGACTTTGCCAGGCATGCAGTGGCCCAGGAAGCCAGTTTGAGTTCTATTCTTTCCACTGTAACATTACGTATTCATTAAGCCACTAAGAACATTTATGATAGCCCAGGCAATTACAATGTCCCAAGAAAACAACGTGATAATCTACACTTTTGATTTTACCATTATATGACACTTTACCTACTTCTTTCAACCATCATGGGTAATTAATTCATACGAATTCACTATTTTATTAGAATACTTATTCAGGTTGAGATGTAACCTCTAACCAGGGATGAAGAGTTAAAATTATCCAGCAAATAGAGTGCTCTTAACCACTAGGCAGTGCAGGTTGGTAAAATCATCGTCTTTGGAAGATGGATCTTGGTTCAAATTCCAACATGTCCTGGCTGTGTTACCTTGTGACATCTTTCTGATCATGGAGAGATGCTGAGATTAATTTAGAGGGTATATGTAAAACTCTTAGAGCCAAACACATTGTATACATTTAATATAGTATCTATTCGGTCAAGCTATTTTCTGCTTTAAGAGTAGCTAAGGGCAATGTTTTCCAAAGTGAGGTGGGAGGTATTGAAAGAGCAGTTAAGTTTAAAAGGCAGTGGTGAAACTGGAGCTGTACCACTCCCTGCAGGAGCGACAATCATTTTCCAATTCCGATTTTGTTCCCTACCTTTCCATCACATACCCTCCCTGAAAGTCAACCTTGCCTTTCATGCATTTTTTTTTAAAAAGAGAAAATGCTGAGCAAGAAGCAAAGACATACCAACAGGTGATTTGGCACGATCCAACGTGCACTGGTTCTCATCCCGTTACAAGATTTGTTAACACTACCATGGAGCAGATGGCAGCGGTACATACATCAGCAAGTAGGAGAGCTGTGTTGCAGAGCCCGACGTGGCTTTATTATTGTTGCTTTTTGTCCCCACGGACTATCCGGCCCTAAGAGACTTGAACTAATCAAAACACACACGCCTGAGGCAGACACCAGAAGGCTAACATACTAATTTATACTAATATTTATAATAATATTTGAGGTCTGGCTAGGACAGGACTGAACTGGATCCCGGCAAAGCCCTGAGACTCTTTCCCCATCTTCTCTTTACTGTCTAGTCTGTCTACCAGCCCAGCTGCCAGTCTCTCTCCAAAGGTCTATTTTGGATAAGTTGTGATATGTATCCACTTTGATACAAAGTACACACTTATAAAGGCTACATAATTCATATCAATAAATGGTGTTTGATGGGAATACGAAGTGTACCCAATCTAACCCAAACGGAGTCCTAAATTCAAACAAACTTTTAAAAAATGACGCTTGCAGATGAGAGGTGAATACATACAACTACTGTGTGACTGGAGAAGTCTCTAAAAAGGACCGTGAGTCCAGATTTTGCGCAATTACGCTAAACAGCATGGGCCTACCCTAGGGCACGTTGAAAATGAGTCACTAGGAAGCGCAGAAAGGACTCACAGAGCCACAGAAACATGTCAATTTACAGAGGCAGAAGTGACCGGAGAGGGAGAAAAATGAGCTTGGGTCCGCAGGCAACAGGGGAGAGCTGTCCAGGAGTCCTGGTTTGTGCGGAGATTCTGACTCTACTTCAAGAAGTCATGGGTCAAATCAAAGATGATCCAAGGTTTCTCTATTTGGACAGCCTCAGGCCTCTTCTCCTTCCGGTGCTTTCCCCCTAGTCCAGGTATGCTCTCCCTCCGAAGCAACTACCGTCGACAGAAATCCGGTCCTCCGGAGCATCAGCCCTCCATTCTCCACAAGACCTTTTCTGCCTATTCCGAGGCCACTGGATCCTCCGCATCTCTGAGCGCCCAGAGCACCTTTTGCTCTAAAATCCCAGTTATCTGTCCTCCCGAAGCCCTGGCTGTAACTCGAAAGGAAATAGCTGCAGACGGTCTCCCGGCTTTACTTTGTAGGCGCTCCAGGAGGCAATCTGACCACTCCCGCGGCGTTTCCTCGGGACCTGGTTCCTCACCGCTCCCTCCCCAGACCTCAAATGCCCCCTTGGTCCCCAGGACGCCGCTCTGCAGTCCGAGCGGGGTGCCCCGACTTCAGGCCGATGCTCAGCGCCCACCCTCCGAGGCCCCCGCGCGCCTCGGTCCCGTCCCCGGCGCCCGGCTGGCCCCGCTCCCCTCCCGCCGCCGCCGCCGCGCCGCCCTCCGCCCGGGCGCACGTGCAGAGCGCTCCCATTCATTCCGCCGCGCGCTTGTCATTGGCGCCGTGACCTCTGCGCCCGGCCGCGGCGCGCTCCATCCCCCGGCCTCACCTGCGCGCCCGCGTCCGCACAGGCGCGCGCCCCGCACGGCCCCGCGCGGCCGGGGGAGCCGGGCCCGGGGCTCCGCGCCGGCGGCCTCCAGGAGCAGCAGCGCCGCCACCGCCACCAGCGCGAGGCCATGGTCCGAGTCTGAAAGTCGCGGCAGGCCCGCAGCTCCGCCTCTGGCCCGGCGGCCCTCCTCCCGGGACCCGGAGCCGGAAACCTGGCACAGGAAGAGCTTCGGCCCCGCCTCGGCCGGCCGCGCGGGGCCTCGGGCGCCTCCCCGCTCCGGAGCCCGGGGACGGCCCGGCCCTGCCCGGCAGCGGCCGGGGAAGGCGCGCTGGGGGGAGCTGGGCCCCTTCGCCCCCTGCCGGCCTCTCGGCCCCGGAGAAACCAGCCGCGACCTCCCACGCGGGCGAGCGGTCTCCCCGATCCCCTCCCCGCGCTCGCGGGAGCTGGTAGCTCCAGCAGCCAGAGCAGAAATGCACTTTTCGGGACCTGGCTGTTAGCAGAGTGTGCTACGGCGCACCCGACTTCCGGTCACTAACTCGTTCTGCGTCTTTATGTAGAAATATGACTCAAAGAACCGGGTTCCTGTTTTGCTGGCTAATCCAGAGGCTACAGTTTCCGCAGCTGCTGCTTTTGGATGTTACCTGCCACGCCATTGTCTGCTGCTTGTTGCAACCTGGCCTTGAAAGAAGTGACAGCGTTTTCTATCTTTCCAGTAACAAGTCAAGCCACGAGCAGGGTTCTTGTGAAAAAGAAGTTAGATTAGCCTCGTCTCTCGACTTTTGGACTCTCTCCTCTGAAAACTTTATAGGTACATTGTGACATCGTTTGGCAGTCTTGCTCACATCTGGATATGTGAGTCCCACTCGTGGGGGTACTAGGCTGTGTGAAATTGTTTACTGTTTGGTAATGTTGAACGTACTTGTAGCCAGCCCGGAGAATAATGGAGAATGTACAGGATTAGCATCTAATACGGGTTAGAGAGACTTTTTGTTAATTCTGTAGCCGGATCTACTCTTCTCATGGTAGTGAGAGAGCGTATTTATTACAGAAATCGGTGATATAATTATTCACTCAAAACATGCACACAAACAAACAGCCAATGAGAGAAAGTGTAAGCATTAGGAATACAGAAATACAAGTAACATACTCTGTCCTCAAAAATTCACTCTTATAAGGAAATAGATCAGCAAATAGGCAGCTGCACCTCTCTGATCTTTTTTCTTGTTCTTCTGAAACCATGCTTTTTGCATTAAAGAATGCAAGTACCCATATGGCTGAGCACATTGTATTTATCTTCAAAGTATTATTTTTTATTGAATGAAAGCATAGAATAAAGAAGTTTATTACAATAAACCAATTTTGTGAGGTTTTTTCCCCCCAATCTTGAAGAACATTATGTAAAAAACATGACAGGTGCTTTACAAATAAAAGTTAATATGCACCTGTGGCTTATCTTGATACAGGTTTACATATTTAGAAACATCTAGCAGGCAGAATTTACCAAGTAGAGTGTACTGATAAACAGGTGGACTTGCAACAATCCTATGACCTGGATGTTACCATCTGCTCTTTTTCAGATAGGGAAACAGAAATGGAGGAATTGAGCATTGTCCCCAAGCTCATCTAGTAGGTAGATATAGCACTATACAATTCTAGCAGGCCATTTTCATTTAGAAATTGTTTACCCAGATTAAAACCAAATATTTGGCTCTTGAAAGGGTGTCATATGGCAAGACTAACCTGGGAAGCAGATGGAATTCTTGAAGGCTTCCAGTATTACAGTGGAGCTAAACTCTTGATGAACAAGAACCCACCAATAGGACATGCAGAATACACAGGGGTTCTTTTGACTCAACGAGACCAAGCTTGAGTCCAAGAAATTAAAAACATTGTCTGAGCTGTGCAAGTAATTGCCAAAGAACAGAGGCCTCTTGTGCACAGGCTAGAAATGACTTTGGTCTTTTTTTTTGTTTTTTAAAGATTGGCACTTGAGCTAACATCTGTTGCCAATCTTTTTCTTCTACTTCTCTCCAAAGCCCCCCAGTACATAGTTGTATATTGTAGCTGTAGGTCCTTCTAGTGTGGCATGTGGGACGCCACCTCAGCATGGCCTGATGAGCAGTGCCATGTCTATGCCCGGGATCCAAACCGGTGAAACCCTGGGTTGCCAAAGTGGAGCGCGTGACCTTAACCACTTGGCCACGGGGCCAGTTCCACATTGGTCTTTTTTTTTTTATTTTTTTTTTTATTTTTTCCTTTTTCTCCCCAAAGCCCCCCGGTACATAGTTGTGTATTCTTCGTTGTGGGTTCTTCTAGTTGTGGCATGTGGGACGCTGCCTCAGCGTGGTCTGATGAGCAGTGCCATGTCCGCGCCCAGGATTCGAACTGACGAAACACTGGGCTGCCTGCAGCGGAGCGCGCGAACTTAACCACTCGGCCACGGGGCCAGCCCCTCCACATTGGTCTTTTCGACTGTACTTGTACAAATGAAACAGCCAGTCTTGACTAATAAAAATGGAATAAGTGTGTAATTGAAAGCATTTTCAAAGTTGTTATTTTGATGTTGGAAAGTTGGTTACACTTTAAGACATTTTCTTTCTATTAATGATGGTACTATTCAAAACATTTTCTACAGTAGGGCCAGACTTTACAATCAGGAGAGATAGCCGTAATAGTGAATACATATTAACCATGTCTTGGTTCATGGCACCACATAAAAACATCTCATCCTGAGGTTACTCAGTGAATTATGAATGAATAATCAAGGCAACTGGGGTAAGACCCTCTACGGAGAGAAGAGTTCAAACACAGTTGCACTGAAAGGTCAGCAGTTCTTGTAGATTTTGTATTCTTAGGCAAAACTGAACTCTAAAGAATTTGGTTTTGGAATTACTGATTTCTCTGAGATGTGAAGATAAAGGGTCATACATTTGGAATTTTCTCTGGGGCTTTGAGTCACTGACTAATTAGTTTGTTAAAGTGGCACAAGGTGAGGGGTGGGGACATCTGAAGCAGTTAGCCGTTGTGGTTCCATGGCCAGTGATCACACGCGTACTGACCCATCACCTACGGTGCCAAAATGTGAATCGATCAGTACAAAATCATAAGTCCTAGTGGAACGTTATATACTGCCCATGCTCTGCTGAAATATTAGCGCATCATAAAAGAAAATGCATTAATTATATAGTTTAATCTGTGTCCACACAGGCTTTCCTAAAAGAGAAGAAAATACATGGTTGGGTTTTCTACTCCTAATCATAATGTCAGGTTTTCTGTGGTGGATACTAAAATCATCTATTTTTTGGTTGACTACCCATTTGTTCCACATGATGCTGCCTTATTCACCATGCCCTTAGGGGAAAGTATAAAGGGTTAAATCTGTACCACATTTGCCATATCATATGGGGAAGATGCAAGATTACTCTTGTTTCTGTTATAATTGACGTTTAATTCACCTAGACTTGGATGGAATAAATACTCTAAACAGTTGAGCAAATTGTTCTGATGGCACCTTTCTCCACTGATTCGACATATCATTTTCTCTAATTATATAGGGAATTTTTACGTTACTTTGGGCTGTTTCTGTGCTTTTTATTGAGTCCCATTGATCTTTGCATCTATTTTTGGGATAACAATATTTTTAGTAATTGCATCCTTATAACTTTTAATATGATAGGGAAACTCTCATTTCTCTTATTTAAAAAAAATTAGTCTTTATTTTTCCAATTTATACTTTAAGTTTGTCTGTTTTTTTTGAAAAAGAATCCTACTAGGATTTTGATTGAATTTCCATTATGTTTATTAAATAATTTGGTGACACTGACATTTTGACAATGTAATCTCTATCCAGAAACATAAGTTTTTATGTCTCTGTCTTGTAGTGTTCGTAATACAGCTAGCCTCTTCTGTTTTTTGTTTTAATTGCATTGGATTAAGAAAACAGATTAAGATTTTAAGAATTGTGCTTAAAATACAAGTACATATGTTCTGAGTGTCTAAAGCATGTTCAAAGCTCTCTTTTTCCTCTACAGCTTGTTAAATTAAATACATATGCTTTGGTGCCTGGACTTTATAAAACATAATTTATCTCTTTAGAGGTAATTTTCAAACTTCTAGCCTTGTGAACAGGCGTGTATCAAATGTTTTGAAGTTTCTGGTGGGTTTGGAAGCAGGTTTGTACATTTAGTAAAACATCTGATATTAGATGTTATTTGTGTATTTATCTGTTTCCTTCGGTTAATCATGATTTTCTGAAGGGAAGAAAGGATGTGATTAAGTGCCTAATATTTTTTGGTTGGATTCCGTTACTACTGTAATTCTAATACTGTAATGCAGCTTACCTCCATTTTATTTATAGATTCTTATTGATAAATATATTGCACATCCTATTGGTCTCCCATGAGTGAAAATCTTTGAAGACAGGGTATGTGTCTTGTTTTAAACTTTTTTCATCTCCCATCTTCTGGGACAGCTCCATCTTCTATGCTGTCTGAATACGGTTGAAAATGATAAAATAGCCTTTAAATAACAAAGTATGAAGAAAATAGTGGTTTAAGTTGATTTTCTGGAAGAACTGTTGCCTTTCTAAGGAATATTAATGCTGTATATGCAACAAATGGGAACATTAAAAAGAGGGTTTTGTTTTGTTTTTTTTTGTCAGCTATGTTGCCAGTTGATCCTGTTAAAGAAAATTATGTTCGTAAAGTGAAAAACTGTGTTTTTTCAATTGCCTTCCCTACTCCTTTCAAATCAAGAGTACGTCTTGTAGCAGTTTCAAAGGTTAGGCTTTATTTTTTCACAATACAAATATTAACTCCCTATAATTTTTGCCTAAAAAGATGATAATTTTTTTTTCAGAGTTAAATTGTTAGTCTGTTGATAAATGACTGTGTTTAAAATTCAGACCCTTGGAGAAAGTCATTCTTAGAAATCACTTTTTGATGCTTAGTCCTGGAGCCTAGTATTTACTTTCTTCTTACACTTATCTTACAAGGAAGATACACTTTTGTGAAAAATAGGTGTAAGAGATTTAAATTCTTAGAAATGCGCTCTAATAAGAAATTCTAAATTGTCTTCTATGATTTAAATGAATTTGGGATAAACATAGAACTTAATTTTAAGTTATATAAAAATAGAATTTACTGTTTTCTAGTTCCCTTAAAGCATAAGTGCTAGGAAAAATATTATTTTACCGTGTATCACAAGAAATACATGAAAATTTTAGAACTATCTAGGGACCAGCCCTGTGGCGCAGTGGCTAGGTTTGACACACTCTGCTTCAGTGGCTGGGTTTACGGGTTCGGATCCCAGGCACGGACCTACGCCACTGGTCAGCCACGCAGTGGCAGCAACCTGCAAATAAAGCAGAGGAAGATTGGCACAGATGTTAGCTCAGGGTTAATCTTCCTCAAGCAAAAAAAAATTGAGAACTATCTAATAGAAGTAATTTTCCCAAATAGCACAAATAATCATAGAAAGCCTGGTACATCTCTTAAGAAAAAATATTAATGTATTTTTGGAAGAGGTTTATTTTTTAAATTTTCTTTCTTCCATTAAGTCTCTTTTCTCAAAATTTTTAAAGGGATTACTTAAGTTTGTAAGAAGAGTTTTTTTTTTTCCTGCTTCAGGAAGTTCTAGAAGATATTTTGGACCTTGATTTATCTGTTTCGGAAACAGATGATTTTATCCAGCTTGTAAGTGGAGAAAAGATACTATTTGGATCCGTTCCATTGGCTCACAGATACGGTGGCCACCAGGTAAGAGCAGCATTACCATCACTTCTGTTATGCAAATACACACCATTGGTGGAAGTGCTGTCCTATTAAAGAAGTTATTTTGCATTAATTTCTCTAATATTAGCATACTGAGACTTCAACGAGATGTTCCTAGAAGAACGTGTCATTATAAGATCTTTATAGATTACCTGATGTGATTTCTTGCTGTCATAAAGCTAGAGCCTGTTTCTTTAATGGAGTTGAGAAAACTGAGGCAGCACAAATACAAAATTTCTGTGAATTATTGCTAGAGAACTCATTCAGTGAAGTTTTGGCCGCAGATTTAGACAAAGGCAAGTAGCACAAAGAATCAACATGAAAGCCTCAGAAGGACAGACAGATTACAGTTTTGCCAGGATTGCTGTAGAGCTAAGTTTTAGAGCTGCTAGAAACTTCTAGAAATTAAATCAGGGTTAACTGAAAGTGTTATATAGTCATGTGCCACATGACGACATTTCGGTCAATGATGGACCACATATACACAGGGGTCCCATAAGATTAGTACCATACAGCTTAGGTGTGTAGTAGGCTATACCATCTAGGTTTGTGTAAGTCACTCTATGATGTTCACACAACCACAAAATCGCCTAACAACCCGTTTCTCAGAACACATCCCTGTCATTCACGACACATGACTGTATGTGCAAAAGCAATTAAGAAGGCAACTTCTAGAAATAAAGCATGATGTTGAAGCAAGTTCAAGCTGTGGTATCTGACTAATTAAAAAGAAATAAAGAGAAGGAACACAGGACCAATTGTTGAAATTGCTGTGACTTTCCTGTGAGCTGGATAGGATTAATTTAACCCTCTCTGGTTGTTTGGGGGTCTGGTTTACTCAGGAATAATTTTTAGGACAAGTAGCAAAGTTTAATAGGATTGGAGGAAGGATTAAGTTAGGAAATATATGAAAAGTAATTTCGTGATAGCTATTATAATAATGATAATATCAGGTGTGTTGGGGTAGTTAATTACTATCAGATTTCTCTTGCTTTCATTCTTCACCATCCTAAGAAGCAAGAGTAACATAGAAGCTAAGAAGCTGAGCTAACATAAGCTAAGAAGCAAAGGGACATCGATGATTAGAATTGAGAAGGATTTTAGGGGTCATCTATGACAAACTTGAACCTCAGTGTCTTGAACTATAATGAGCGAGGGTTGACCAAGATCGTTCCAGGAGTTGTGAGAAGTGCTATGGCAAAGAAATCTGCTGAATTTTATTTAACACACCATTTTCCAGACACATCTGACTACATGATTTTGTTGTTGTTTTGTTTTTAAGGAATAACTATTAACATTTTGCTGAACTATATTTCTCAGTTTAGAAACTTCTGGACTGAATGATCCTTATGGTTTTTTCTAGCTCCTAAATACATGGTTCAGAGAACCATTCCCCAAGTAGGTTAAATTTATTAGATAGCATTTTATACCAGTACTCACATGTACTGTGAAAGTGCGAATATAAATGTTAAGCCCTGCAGAAGTTTGCTAAGGTACTCTTTTTTTGTAGCTTTTTTTTTTTTTTTGTAGTATGGTAAATTGGATTAAGCTTTTATCACTTTCGCATTTCATTTCCTCCCCCTGATTTGAAATTATATTATAAATATTTATTGATAAGGATGGCACTACCATTTTGAACTTACAGTCATAAATGAATTCTCTTTTATTAATGGAGACCTACCTCCCTGTTTCCCCTGATTTCACTCCCAGCTCTGGATTCAGCATTCTTTCTACTTCCCTTTTATGGTGTGCGATATACCTAATATACTGTCGACTTTAGAACTTTCCAGAGTTTGCTGAGCGCAGCTCTCAGACTTCAGTTCTTAGAGTCCATAGCCAAAATCAATTAATGGTGGTCTGTTCCTGGTTAAAATGAAAAATTAAAATATTGGATAGATTTTTGTCAATTTCATGTATTTCTTCCAGAACTATAAACATTGTTTAAATATTCCACCACTGTTTACAAAACTCCTTTTATGTGCCCGGAGCTATTGTGGTGAATGAGACCTGCCCCTTTTTCTCAAATTGGCCGAGCTGGGAATTGAACTGCAAACAGGTGTTTTTTTGTTTTTTTTTTTTAAAGATTGGCACCTGAGCTAACAACTGTTGCCAATGTGTTTTTTTTTTTTTTTTTTTGCTTTTTCTCCCCAAATCCCCCCAGTACACAGTTGTATATTTTAGTTGTGAGTGCCTCTGGTTGTGGCATATGGGATGCCGCCTCAACACGGCCTGAGTGGTGCCATGTCTGCACCCAGGATCCGAACAGGTGAAACCCCAGGCTGCCAAAACAGAGCGTGCGAACTTAACCACTCGGCTGCAGGGCCAGCCCCGCTAAAAGGTTTTAATAGAAAAATTTGACAGCAGTTAATCATGCAAGTTCGAAAGCAGCTTTTTCAGGTACAAGTATGTTCCTGATTTTATATGGCATACATATAATATAGGCAAATTTTCTACAAACAGATTGTCCCTAGTTCATGTTCTAGAATGAAATAGATCAGTTCTAAGTATCCTATACCTTACAAATTTGAGATTGGCTATAAGATGATGAAGAAATTGATTATATATCTTAAATTTATATTTTTACAATGAATCTCAATTGTTTTATTGATTGAATTTTATTTTCACCTGTATTGTTGTTGATTATTATAATCCTAAAAATGGAATACCCCATTCTTAATTTTAATAAAATAACTTTGGCTATAAAATGACTATAAAAGCTTTAAGAGTAAATAAATATGAGTAACTTTCCTTTTTTCCCCTTTAGTTTGGGATATGGGCAGATCAGCTTGGGGATGGAAGAGCCCATCTTATTGGAATTTACATGAACAGGTACCACGTTTTCTTGTATAGTAGCTTTTCTGCTAAAGATTGACATGAATCTTCTAATACTTAGCTTTTTTTTTTTGAAGAAAAGGTGAAAAGTGGGAGCTCCAATTAAAAGGCTCAGGAAAGACCCCATATTCTCGGTACAGTTTGATATTTTTTTTAGGTGTCTAAATAAAAGTTGATGTTGTCTTAATCACAGCTGAAAATCTTTTGGATCTTCTCATCCACAGTCACGGTGACGGCCGAGCCGTGCTTCGCTCCTCAGTGAGAGAATTTTTGGGTAGTGAGGCTGTGCACCATCTTGGAATTCCAACCAGCAGAGCTGCGAGGTAATTCCTCTTTCCTTGAAGCTGACTTTCAGGACTGCAGCATGTTGTCTCCAGAAATGTGTCAGGAAATGGAGCAGATAAATCTCTGAGAGCACGATTTCTCATCGTTTCTTCTAGTTTTAGGTACTTCTTGATAGCCTGCCAGCAGTTAAATAAGGGTAACTTTAATTGTTTGATTCTGTATGTTTCAGTCTGGTTGTAAGTGATGATGAAGTATGGCGGGATCAGTTCTACGATGGAAATGTTGTGAAAGAACGAGGTAATAACTGTTTCTGGAACGCTTTCATAAAATTAGGTTAAGTTCTTCAAGAATAACAGATATTAGACGTCTTTGCAAGCATCTTAACCAATGACCTAGGTTCTTCAAGATGTAATTTCAGCATTAGGACGTTACAGAATATCCTTTCCCACATCCTTACATCACTAATCCATCCATTTTTAACAGCAGACATCTGGGAAGTGAACAAAAAGTGTTTATGGACGGCCTACAAGGTGTTACAAAGCCAGAACATGAACGTTCATCCCCTCTTTTCCCTGGAGAGCCCCCGAGACCTTTGCTCAGAGCCTGATCGCTCTTACTGCATGTTACTTCCGCGGAGTTCAGCTAGCTTTTTCCTCAGCCTTCAGTAGGTTAGAAATAAAAAATTAGGAGGATGAGAAAGCGTGCTCTGGAGCAGCAAACAGAAAGAGTGAGAGAAACTTGACTCTGAATCTCTGGGGAGAGAGAAGACCTGCAAATCAACAATAAACATTTTTAACTGCTTTAAAAGAGGAGCTATTGACAGCTGCTGACATCCCTACAGGCTTTATTGGGTCCTGTGGACATCGCTGTATCACAGGGCAGCATTTTTACTGATGTTCACAGTCGTTCACCAACCACACATTTTATGCTCTTTATGCTTAGTGCGTAATATGTTTTGATAAGATTTTAATAAAAAACAATCCCCCCAAAGCATTCATGCATAAAAGAATTAAGGGTTACTTATCTTGATGGCGTCTCTCTTTCCCTTTTAATTTAATTTGGATAAAATGGATGCTATTGCACATGGGCCTGTAACAACTATTTAGGTCTTTTTGTTTGTGGTGATTGGAAATGAGATTGCAATCACTGACCGTCAATGTGTTGGGTACAACACTACTTACTTTTGTGGCAATGGCTGATATACTGTATATTGTTAATCTGAATTCCGAACCACAAGCTTAGTGGTTTCAAATCGTCCCAATTATTTCTCCTTTTTAGACCATTAGTAGAATTTCCACATTTAAGTCTTCACCTATATACAGGTATTTCAGTTGTACTTTTACCTTGATATTTGCCCAGCAGCCGCGGTGGTACAGTGAGAAATGTGCTGGACGGGCAGAAAGACCATGTGACACCTTGAACTGGCTCTTCGGGAGCTGGTTTGTGACTTTAGGCAAGTCACATCCTGGCCCTCAGTTTCTCCACCTAAAATGGAGGTTAGATTAGTTGATACCTCCCGTGTCTTGCAGTGCTAACATTCCGCGTTTCAATGCCTATTCACTAAGTAAACACTTAGAGTCATTTATTGAGCTCTTATATTTTTTCTAAGTGATTACATTTTTATTGCTCAAAAAACCCCACGTGAAAATAAATATTCAGATTACTTTTTCCTTTTTCTCTACACAGCCCCCTGGTACATAGTTGTATATTCTTCGTTGTGGGTCCTTCTAGTTGTGGCATGTGGGACGCTGCCTCAGCGTGGTTTGATGAGCAGTGCCATGTCCGCGCCCAGAATTTGAACCAACGAAACACTGGGCCGCCTGCAGCGGAGCGCGCGAACCTAACCACTCGGCCCCGGGGCCAGCCCCTCAGATTAGTATTTTGAATAAATCCTGACTATATGGATAATTTAGTTAACCCAGAAAATACTAATTGGCCTTTTTCTGTGCCTACCATTGGATAATCACTAAAGGGTCCAGGAGTAGTAAGTGTATATCGTAGTCCCTGGTCTTGAGAAACTCAAACTTCATGGAGAAAAGGCTTAAACATATGGAACAAATGAGTGATACAAAGTCAGAGGTCAGTAAAAGGGGATCAGTTTAGCTTTATGGAGGAGGTGGAACTGATTCTGAGCACAAGATTAGAAAGGATTTCGGTATGGGGAGAGAGAGAGTGGGGCATGTGGAGAGGGGAGAATAGCGCGAAGGCCCGGACGTGGCAGTGAGTGTGATAACTCGTTGAAGGACATCACCAGCAGAGCAGGAGCTTTCGTCCCCTGGGATGCACTTCATCGTGACGTCAACACATATGTAGGTACAGCATTCCTTATGAGAAAGAAACATGAATTCTATTTACTAATTGTAATCTATAGTAATGTCTATAATCAAAACAGAAGGCGGCAATAGAAGGCGGCAAACCCAAAATACAAATTCACTTTGTTTCTTCAGCGTATTCATAAGTTAAAACACATGCACACGTTTATTTATTAAAGTTAATTTTCAGTTAGTTACACAAGTGGAAGGTACTTGCAGGGACTATGCCATAGAAATAATTCACTAATTCCTGATTTCAGGACAAGGCACATGGAAAAGGTCACAATTGGGAAAATAGTGGGAATCTAGTGTTTGGAGCCTAACAGTTTAACTGAGCAGCCTTTAGCCAGGTTGGAGCCTCGGTATTTCTGAAAGTGTCGTGGTTCCTAACCTTCCAACTGATTCAGGCTTCAAGACATAGAGAAAAATCCTGGATCCTTTCTAAAGCGTAAGTTAGTTGTTTTTCTGGTCAATTCAGTTACTGTGTTTTTTAGTTAAAATTTCGTTTTAAAGAAAAGCATGTTATGCTGTATTTGCATAGTTTAAAATAGGTTATGCTAAAATAAATGTTTCTTTTTCAGCTGCAGTAGTGCTGCGCGTGGCGAAATCTTGGTTTAGAATTGGATCGTTAGAAATTTTGGCTCATTATGGTGAACTGGATTTACTACGGTTAGAAAATGACTTTTTTTAAAATGGTAGAAGGCAGTTGAAAAAAAATGCTTGTATATGTGCTGTGAAGTTAAAATATTTTTACTTTTCTTATAAGTAAAATAAAAAATTGCAATTAGTAAATATTTTTAACGCTTGTTGTGTGCCTGACATCACGTGGGTTTACTAGGAAGCTAAAAAAAGAAGTGTAACATCCAGTAGACCCTTTTGTCAAGGAATTTTTTATCTAGTACGCAACCCGGTTGCAGCCGAGGGCCTCTGTGCCACTCAGAGACCTGGGTGGAAGTGACTCAAGCTCCCCAATTCTGCAGCCTCGAGAGGTCCAAAGCTCTCCTTCCAATTCCTGGGGTTCCCAGGGTGCGTCCTCTGTCTCATGTCTCTTTTTTCCTAGACTCCGCTTTTGACATGTGTGTGATGCCCATTTCATACTGGCTTGGCCCAGACTTGAAACTCAGCCCCTTCAACAGGATGAAAACAAACAACAGACTAAATTTATACAAAGCATTTAAGAACCGAGTGCATCTTCCCAAAGATTTCTGCAGAGAAGACAGAGGAAGGGCTGCTTCCAAAGAGCAAGGGCGATAAATGCTTCCCCTTGTGTCCTGCTGCCCCCGTCCTCTGATGTCTTGGGGCCTGCAGTCTCTATGCTCACAAAATTCCATCTTCCTCAAAGCAGGCTTAGTAGGATGTTTCTTGAAACAAAAACATTTCCTCCTTAAGAGGAATTCTGTGTCAATTTGTTAAGATAATAGAGTTTTAAAAAGTATTAGAAATATATAAGAAAAAAATTCTCTTAGACAAACTAGAATCATTTGGAATATGGATCCTATATTGTAGTTATCCACTTAGTAAATCCAGACACCTGGGCCGTGAAGAATACAGAAAGGAGAGAAGAGACGGAAAGGAAGAAGCAGAGCAGGGAAGTCATCACATTGTCATGACCTTCTCTGAGTCTCTTTCTTCAGCAAATGTTTACTGAGCTCACCGCCTTCCTGGCTTGTTGAGGGACTTGTCTACTCTCACTGGGCATTGTTCCTAACTTCCCATATGTTTTTCGGGTCACTTGTGCTTGCATTCATCACCTCACTGAAATGGTTCTATCTGGTGGTCATCCTTCAGTTATATTTCACTTCCCTCTGACATTTGATGTATCTTGGTGACCACTTCATCCTTGAAATGCCTCCACTGGCTAACATCACTGTATCTACATTCCTTTTTGTTTCCCGAATGTCTGAAACAGTTCTTCACACATAGGCACTTATTCAAGTTATTAAATGATTAAGTGATTTGAAAAAATGTGTATATATATATATACATTCTCATCCACTCCTATTTGTTTGACTGGGTTTTAATAATTCCCAAATCATATCTACAACCCCCATTTTTTTCTGGATTCTCTATTATCCAATGCAATAAACACTAGTGGTTAGTTAACTGACTAGAATAGTCAGTTCAAATAGGGAATAAAAATGTGATACATACAGGGGCCAGCCTGGTGACATAGCAGTAAGTTTGTGTGCTCTGCTTCAGCGACCTGGGGTTCACGTATTCAGGTCCTGGGCATGGACCTACACACCCCACATGAAGCCACGCTGTGCTGGCATCCCACATATAGGGTAGAGGCAGATGGGCACAGATGTTAGCTCAGGGCCAATCTTCCTCAGCAAAAAGAGGAGGATTCGTGGCAGGTGTTAGCTCAGGGCTAATCATCCCCCCTAAAAAAACAGATATATGTATATATGTATGATACATACGCAACTTAAATATTTTAACTAGAAACACTGGCCAATTTTTTGTCACCTCATTTGTGAAGCTGTATGTGACCCTTCACACATAAATAATCATTCCCTGCTCTTTTATCTTTATACTTTTTATATTTTTCTGTTATTGCATGTATTATACTGTTATGTCATGATTTCCTCATATGTTCTTCTGCTCTAGTAGACTATGTGCCCTTTGAGGTCTGGGTTTGGCTCTTGTCATTCTTCTTTCTAGCCCTTACACAGGGTGCAGTGCATACAGCAGGTCCAGTATGTACTCAGTGGCATTCAGCAGGTGCAGTAGGTACGCAATGGATGTTTATTGAACCAATCTGAATTTGTAATGTAATAAGATGGGATGTAATATGATCTTAGAGACACGTTTCCAGTTTTGATTGGTATTGAGGAAACGTTTCTCTCTGGCTGTTTTGGGAGTAAAATATTATTTTAATTTTTAAAATTTTAAGCATGAATCTAATGAATTCATGAATGTCAAGGGTGAATTTAGAGGACTGGATGTTTGATACTGTATTCTGAGGAACACTGATGCTATCTCCTTTTTATTTCCAGGACATTATTAGACTTTATCATACAGGAACATTTCCCTTCAGTGGATGTCGGAGAACCTAACAGATATGTGGTAAGTTTTTAAAGAGAAAGGGCAGGACTATTTTCTCTCATTGGCCTGCCAACATTAGCAGTCACAGCTTAGAACTGAAAAATCTACCGTTAGGAAAGGAAATGTAGAGCACTTTGAACGTTTTGTTAGATGAAAGTAAGATGAACCATTTCATACACAAGACATAGATAAGACAATGGTTTTATTTGAAAGAATCTAGAAAAAAATAACAGGTGCTACTCCATCCTGACTACATACGTTATTTTTTGAGCAGCATTTATAACTTGGTCACCTATATTCTTCTCTCACACATTAGATATCTAGATCTTTCTATAGTAGTCGTTCTAAAATAAACACAATACATAATAGGAAAATGTAATTTTCTATTTTTGTGGAAATTTTTTGATCTTCATAACCCTTTTTCGTTCTTTCAACAGTCACAGAGAAGGGAATTCCAGTATTTTTCTTGGTGACTCATTTTTAAAGTTTAATAACTCTCTTTGCTTATATTTTACTCCCTGGTACTAAATTCTAATGCTTTTCTTTTTCTTACTGGACAAGGAGAAAGCCTGGTCATAATACTATGTCTGAGCCTTTTAGGTATTATTTCTGGATGAATAATTCTCCGTTCTTCCATTTTTTTCTTACATATGCTAATTCCCTTCCTTTAGTCATCTTTCAGCTCACCTTTGAATTCTTTCCATGTTCTCCTTTTGACTTATCAGAAGATCCTAAAAGAGTACACATTAGTGAAAATCTGAAAAATTTCTAAATTTCATTTTAGGATTTTTTTTCTGTTGTGGTATCTGAGACAGCGCAACTTATTGCCTTGTGGACATCGGTTGGTTTTGCTCATGGTAAGTTGTGTACTGGTGCTTCATTCTCCTGATGAGAAAGTAGAATTAATTTGTTGAAGCAGAAGACTCCTTTTTTGTGTATTTCAAAATAGTCCTGCTGATGAGCTTCTTAACATTTATAATATATGAATTTTTTTAGCGACAGAGACACAATTTTCTCATGTTTAAAATGGTTTTGAATGGAACAGTATAGACGAAAATAGAATAAGTGTCCTCAGTTTCATGAGGATATTGTTACCTGTAAAGCTTTTCAACCTTGTGAGTATATAGTATATTTAGATCTCTTTAAAGGTGTTTTTAAAATCTTAATTATAAAAGCACTACATGCTTATGGTAAAGAATTTAAAATACACAGAAGTGAGTGTGAGTTCCGTTCTGCAGGATATTCATTATTAACCGTTTCATATCAGTTCTTCGAGACTTTTTTTTGATGCTGTTCATACGTCTCCTGCAAAAGCACCAGGGCTGGCTTGCGGGTGTTGGAAGCCATTCACTGGGGGGTTGCATTGGAAGAAATATCTGCCTGAGCAAAGAATGACTGGAAAGCAAGTTGTACATGTACTAAGGTCTCTAGATAAATACCAAAGGGGGATCCCACATTGCAGAACTCTTGAAATCCTTTAATTGTCACACGCAGACTCTCTGGGTCTCACCTGGGGTGGGGTAGGGTAGGGAGCAGGGGAGGTGTTTTAGAGTTCTTGTTATTGTGAACTGTGCTGCAGTGACCACCATGTACCCGTACCTTTGTATTCTTGAAGGTGAGTTTTTGAGGAGAAATTCCTAAAAGTGGAACGGCTGGGTTAGAGAGTCTGGACATTTAACATTTTGATAAACAGGGCTATCTTGCTCTGAAAAAAGGTTGAAACTCTTTATTTTGGATGCTGTTGCCACTTTGTCCAAATATCCTATATTAGGCTGATGTGTCCATCCCATGGCTTCTTCCTACCCCACACTCTGTCCCCATCCCTAAGCCCCCTCCCCGAGAAGGTCACACTCCCTCCCCACACTGTTAGTGGTCCACAGCTAATGACTGTTATGGGGGTACACATCTATATTTTACCCTTTCCACAACCCTTCGAAAATCAATTAATCTTTTTCCTTTACTAGTCTCAATTCCGTTCCAAATAACTTACGTTTTTTAAACAAATGCTAGACATTGAGGATAAATAAGAGGAAGTTTCATTTGGGGGGGGCTTTTGTTCCTATAGTATTTGAAATCTTTTGGGGAGGGGGTATAAAACAGAAAGCTAAATTTAATTTTTAAATATAGTTTTAATATATATTAAACTATTTGACTTCACTCATTGAACTTTCAATTGATAATCTAGTTTTGTTTCATTCCTAAAACAAATGCATTTCCATGACGTTTCCTATACTGCATAATTTTATATAGTTAAAAAGAAGCTTTATCATTTTATTATCATGTTTTTGGAATTTTTTGTTGTGATTTTAGGTGTTTGTAATACTGATAACTTCAGTTTGTTATCCATTACAATTGACTATGGTCCATTTGGTTTTATGGAGGCCTATAATCCAGGTATGTATGATTTATATGTATATATGTATATGTGTGTATATGTGTGTGTATGTGTATAAATGCATGTTTGTGTATATATATAGAGAGATATATACTTTATTTCACAAAAAAATTATCACAGGTTTATTTTAGATTATCTGCTATAGCTAATATAGCAATGGGGTAGTAGAAACAATTGGGTTCATTCATAAAATGGTCATTTTATGTGGTACTCAATCTGCCAGGTGCCATAGGGATACAAAAATGAGTCCTTTGTGGTCTCTGCCCTCAAGGAATTACATATTAGAGAAGATGACATGAAGGGTAGTAGGGAATATATTGTCAGACAGACGTGGGTTTGAGTTCTGACATCTGACCCTTAATGGCTCTGTGCCCTTGAACAAGTTACTGAATCTCTCACTTTACTAATCTGTGAAATGGAGGTCACAGTGATAAGTACTCCACTGGAGGGATCAGAGCAGGCTTTGTGGACAATGGGCTGTGTGAGCTGAGGTACATGTGTGATACCCCGGAAATTCTTGTAGGTTAGAAATGTATTCTTCCATTAGGCAAATAATTCATATTTTAAAAGACTTTTATGTGTATGGGTATTAAGTGTTTATATTACTTTTGAGTTAAATGTGTAATATCAGAAAGATTCTTACCTAATAAATATAAATTGAGTTTAAAGATAAACTTAAAAATGAAGAAAGAAACTCTTTAGAATGATTCTCCCCAATGTCAAATGATAGTATTTTTGTTTTAAACAGATTTTGTACCAAACACATCTGATGATGAAAGAAGATATAAAATAGGAAATCAGGCCAATATTGGGATGTTTAATTTAAACAAGTTGTTACAAGCTCTAAACCCGTTACTGGATCCTAGGCAAAAGCAGCTGTGAGTAAATCCTAAATCTACTAATTAAATCTGTGTGAAAATATGTTTGTATAATGATAATTTTTTGAAAAGCAAGAAACTAACATTTTTAAAGCCATCTTATTATTTAATCTTTAATAATGAAGGCATTTCAAACTATTTTTCTCTAGTACAGTTTTGGCTTCTTTTCCATAGTTATCAAGATAAAGTGTTTTCCTCTTTACTGCTTTTTAGGTGTTGTGAAATTTTAGTTTCTTTCTTTTTTGATCTGAGGGTTATTTATCTCTGTGTTTCTTTATTTCTAAGTAGTTGGGCTTATTTTCTGCATATTTTTATCATCAAAGAACATGTTTGGTAAAATCTATTCAAAATGTGTTAGGGTTTCTTTATGGCCCAAATAATACATTTTTTTACATTTTATGATGATATAAAAAAATGTATACTCTGTACTCAAAGGTTTCAATATGAAATTGAGTGTATTGAGTGTATCAGTCAAGTCCTTTATTGCCCTATTCATTTTTTATCTGTTAGATAAGTTTGATTCATAGGAAATATGTATTACAGTTTCCCATTTTGTGCTTTTATCAAATAATTTTTCTAATTGTTTAACATGTACATATTTTGCTGCTGTATTATTTGTACATACAGGTTTTTTACTTATATTTTCTTCAAAAAACATGCCTTTTATCCTAACATAATGACCTCCTTTATCCTGATTAATACTTTTAACTCTCATTGCCACTTATCTGATATTAATATTGCCATTCATGCTTTCTTTTTGTTGGATTTGCCTTGAATCTCACTTTACTTTTTACTTTATTACTTTCTTTTAAATTGTGTTTCTTATAAAAACAAGCAAAACATATAGCCCGATTTTAATGCAATGAGAGGGTTTCTGTCTTAATAGACGTATGTCGGCTGTTCATTTATTATAATTGATTTTATTCCTTCTGTCTTATGTTGTGCTTTATTTTATATGTTAGTTTCCCCCCCACTTTCCTTATCTTTTTATGGTTTGAGCAATTCATTCATTCCGCGCCCCCCCCCCCCCCCAATTTGGAAACTGTTGAATTCCCTCGCTCCCCCCACTGGTAATTATCTTTCTTTTTCTGCCTCTTTGCTGTTACATGAAAACAAGTTTCTAAATATCTTCCTTCACTAAGATTCTATTTGCCCGTTGTTTTTCCCTCCATCCCAGTAAGATGAGACCTTTCAAAGGCTTTTATGTTTTACCTCAAATTACCCAACTGCTAGATTTTGCTAAGACGGTTTACAGTTACACACTGATAGTAGGTTTTCCCTTGAAGTGTATCCTTCTATTTCAAGTCTTTGCCATTAGCACTCCGTTCCCCCCCACCCCCCATTTCTACTCATTTCACCGCTTACCACCATTGTTTTTGCATGGTTCCATCTTGAAGTCTCTGTCTGGATTACTTCCTGAAGTATTTCATTCCCACATGTAGGTGATATATTTCCTGAATCTTTGCATAACTGTTAGTGTTTTTATTTACTCTGAGAGGTAATTGAGATGTAGGGTTTTAGATTGAGTATAGATTCAGTTGCGTGTACCAGAAACGCAAAATAATGGTAGCTTGAACAAGATGGACATGTATTTTTCTCTCCTGTGAAAGTATGTGGGTTGGGGTGCCATCTATAACATCCTTATTCTATGTAGCAGCATGGAGAAGGAAAGAAGCAAGTCCTCAACATTTCAGAATTTGTACACATCACTTCCCTCATTTCCCATCAGCCGAAACTTCATCATATAGCCATATATAGTGTATTGGCCTTATATTGTATCAACTTGGCTAAACTGGTCCAAAAATGCCTTTCTCTGTGTACTTATGGGTAAGGTTGGCCACAAGAGAAATCTGCAAGATCTGGAAGGCAGAAGTGAACAGCAGGACATATACGTCCCGAAGGCTGGTGGAGGGTCAGGCACTCCTGCAGCTCCTCTCGTTGGCAGGGGGAGATAGCCAAGGCTGCCGCTCCTCGGCTCCCTCTGGATGGCCTCCTTCAGCATCTTGAATCCTGGAGCCAGGACGTGTGCCACTCTCTGATGAAGGGCACCACCTTATCCTGCAGGTTCCCTGCGCCCCTGAGCTTGGAGGCTTGAGATACAGACACGGGTTCCAGTTTGTCTTCACTGTCTCCATCTGATTTTCTTTCCTGTCTTCTCTGCTCTCTTTGAGCCCCAATGCCAGATGCAGAAGAAACAGCGTTCTCCATCCTTCTTAACCAGCTCCCACAATCACGTAAGGTCAAACTCCTAAACTAAACCGCTTGTTCTATAGCACCGCTACTGGTTCTGCGTCTCTGACTGTAGCTGATGTGCGCAGTGAGAGCAAGCTCTGCTGTTGTTTATTTAAGTCTTGCCTTTCTTCCCTTCATTTCTTTTTGTGCTGCTGGCACCTCATTATTTGTTATGAATCCTCAATATATTTCCAGTTCTCCTATTTTTTCGATATGCTTTCTGTCCCTTTGTGTTTTTGCTTAGTGTTTTGTGGTGTTTCTTCTACTTGATTTTCTGAGCCACTGAATTGGAGTCTCAAGAGAAATTGTCTTCTCTCTCGTCTACTGAATTTCTTAGCCTGAAATCATGTTTTGTAGTTCCAGAAGGTCTGGTGAGGTATAGTTCATTCCTCTTAAGTGTTCTTATTTTTTGGGATTGTTATCTGTCTCCATGGCAGCTCCTTTGCCTCTTTTGGGGGGTTCAGCCCCAGCTAGGTGGGGGCACACCTTTAACGGGCTGGCAGGGTCCTGCAGGCAAGTTTTGAGCTTCCTGTTGGGCCTGTAGGAGGCAGCCTCTTGCTCCCAGCTCCCCTCAGCAGCTGGGGCTGGTTCTCTCCCACCTTCTGGGCTAGAGGGGTTTTAGTAGCTCCCCTGTAGGCTCTTGGAAGCCAGCGAACCCCCTAGCTCTTTCCAGTAACAGTTATACAGGTGGGGCCCTTAATGTCTTTGCTCAGTTGTGCAGTACCTCAAGAGTGAGGGCCCACAGCCCTGCTCGGACCCGCCAGGCCCCCCTGCCTCCGCCAGGCCCCAGCAGCTCCTGGGCCCGGGAGAGGATTTGAGTCAGAGCAGGCAAGGGCAGGCACCAGGAGGTCTTTTAAGCTGCCTTCTGTTTGACATCCCTGGTTTAGTCTTTGGCCTTTCATGCTTTTACAGGAAGTCGGTTACTTCCCTTCTGGTGGTTCATTGTGGTGGGGGAGCTTCAGTAGAGTGTGCATTCCTTCTCTGGCCCCCACTCACTGCTCCCTGAGGGAAGAAGGGTTCATTATCAGTTTGATGAATTCGGGAGAAGAAACTAAGCATGTGTGGCTCATCCTATTATCCCTCTCTTTTCGTACATTTTCTGCTTCTTTATGTATCCGTTTTACAGGAGTGTGCCCAAGTTGGGGAGGCCCATAGTCATAACTGCTGTTCCGTTAACAGAGTGAATAAACTTTTCCAAACTAGGCACAGTGTATTATCATGCCTATTTATCTGCAAACCTAAGCCATTTTCTCCGGCTGGCTTTTATCAGTAATAAAGCTGAAATTTTAATCTCTGTCTGTTGTATGTTCTCTCATTCAGAATTTAGAAAAAGGATACATGGCTGCATTTTTAAACAACAGAGTAAATAATAAATAGACAACTTTGCAATGTTTATAATTAGTTACTCAAAATGAAATATCTTATGCATGCGTATGAATAAGCATGAAGGATAATCTGAGTACATTAATAATTACAAAGAATGTTAAGATATTTGTTGATCTAATCACTAGACATTGAACTCCTAGAGGGCAGAAACCACATTTTAATCATTTCTGTGTCTCCAGTGTATTTAGTAGAAGATAAAATGTATTTCTCTTCACACTCCCCACTACCAAAAAAAATCTGAAATTTACCATTTCTAGTATAACAAGATCCCAAATGGAAGACAAGGCACATAGTGATTTTATTAACCCCAGGTAGCAAAAAAATTGCTACAATAAAGATAAAACTTTTACATACCATCAATGGTTTCTTAATTAGATTTATAAATATATTGGTAATGTAGTGGCACAGTTTAAAATGAAAGCAATATAAAATGGTATTTATTAAGCAGTCTTCATCTCACCCTTGTCTCCATTAATTTTTTATCCCTTTTGCCTTGCAGAGTTCATTCATTCATTCAACAAAAACTTATTGTGGTGCTTAGCATGTATCAGACACTGTTCTAAGTGCTAAGGGGACAGCAACAAATAAAACAGCAGAATAATTGTGCCCTCATGGTGCAGCCCTCCGGTGGGAGAGACAGTCGGTAGACAGAATCAATACGTTTATAGCGTATTAGAAGGAGATCACTATGGAGAGAAGTAAAGCAGGGGATAAGGAGTACGGGGAGGGGGCGGGATTTGCAGTTTAAAGGGTGGTCAGCACCTCACTTGAGCAAAGACGTGAAGGAGTCCCAGGAGCAAGCCACACAGATGTCTGAGGGAACAGGGCTGCGGGCAAGGGAACAGTCTGTGCAAAGGCCCTGAGGGGGGAGTGGATGCGGGGTGTTTAAGGAACAGCAAGAAGGCCAGTGCAGCTGCAGAAGAATGTCCAAGGGGAAGAGCTGTAGGAGACGAGGTCAGGAAGGTAAAGGGCGTGGAGCTTCAGAATGGCTTAAGCTTTTGTGTGATTTAAAATGCATTAAGAATGTTAAGAAATAGAAAGTTTGTTTGTTTAAAAATGTGTTTAAGGTTAAGAACCCTTTAATTTTTATGAAATATTTCACTATATTTTCATATATTCAGGCAAATAAAATGTTATTGCATTGAACGGGGTATTTGTAATGCGTTATTTTGGGTCTAAGATGATTTTTAAAACACACCCAAAAACCCTATTTATATATCTCTTTTGGTGTTAGAGACATATCAACATTTATCCTACAGGCTAATTGTACATTGTAATGTTTCAGGAGTGACATGATTTGATCTGTTCTCTAGCCAAATCTTTGAGACAGTAAATTTACATTGACAATTTTCTCGAAGATATGATATGTAATTAAATCACTCATCTAGAATCAATAGCATGTAATCTAAGGTTATTTAATCTAGGAGAAGTTTCACTTTGTTCTTATAAAATGTAATTCAGGAATGTTAATTTTAAAACAAGGTTTAACTGTCCTTTTTCTCCCTCCCGCAGTGCTGCTCTGATTCTTGAGGGGTATCCTGACCTTTATTATACAAGGTTTGTCCTTTTTGAATACAGAGTTTAAAGCATCCTCGTTGATTTGAGGACAGTTCTTAAAATAGTGAGAATTTTAATAACAAATTGAATTGAAATTTCTCCTTTTAGATTTAGAGAACTATTCAAAGCCAAACTGGGGTTACTTGGAGAAAGGAAGGGTGATGAGGATTTGATTGCATTTCTCTTACATGTGAGTTTATCATTTTTATCTTTTTTTCTGGTTAACATTTGAATTGCTATTCAGGATTTTTTTTGAAGAATTGAGATTGACAAATCTTATTACTTTCATTAGCTCATGGAAAAGACAGCAGCTGATTTTACCATGACGTTTCGGCAGCTCAGTGAGATTACTCAAAGCCAGTTACAGGAGCTCAACATTCCTCAGGTATTAATTTGTGACATTTGGCACTTTTTTCTTCTTTTTTTTTTGGTGAGGAAGATTGGCCCTGAGCTAACATCTCTTGGCAATCTTCCTCTTTTGTTTTTTTCCCCAAAGCCCCAGTACATAGTGGTATATCATAGTCGTAAGTTATTCTAGTTCTTCTATGTGGGATGCCACCTCAGCATGGCTTGATGAGCAGTGCATAGGTCCATGCCCAGGATCCGAACCAGCAAACCCTGGACCGCCAAACCAAAGGAGAGTACATGAACTTAACCACTTGGCCATGGGGCTGGCTCCTGGCTTTTTTCTTAATTCAGTTTTCTTTAACAGGTTTATGGAGGTATAATTTATATACTGTAAAATTCCACTTGCCTTCCAATTCAACGGTTTCTGATAATTTACAGATGGTGCACTTGTCACCACAATTCAATTTGAGAACAATTCCATCACTCTAAAAAGATCCTTTGTGCCCATTTGTCGTCAATCCATGTTTCCACTCCCAGCCCCAAGCAATTACTAATTTACTTTCTCTCTCTCAAAGTTTTCACTTTCTAGACATTTCCTATAAATGGAGTCATACAATATGTGTTTTTTTTGCCTCTGGCTTCTTCACTTAGCCTGCTTTTTGGGGTTCATCCACATTGTAACCCATCAGTAGTTCTCTCCTCTTTATGACTTAGTAGTACTCCATCATATGGATATACCACATTTTGTGGATCATTTACCAGCTGATGGACATTTGGATCGTTTCCAGTTTTGGGCCATTGTGAATAAATATCGCTCTGAACATTCATGTCCAAGGTTTTGTGTGAACGTATGTTTTCATTTCTCTTGGGTAGATACTAGGAGCAGAATTGCCGGATTGTTTAGTAAATATACGTTTAATTTTTTAAGAAACTGCCAAACTGTTTCCAAAGTGGCTGGACTTAATTCAGTTTTAAGAATGTGTGTTGCCTTTTAATTTCAGAGCTCATACATTGCATTCGTGGAGTAATATGAGTATTTCCAGAAGACTCCTACTTAGATTTTTAGCAATATGGATCTATTTAAGGTCTTTTATATGACAATCATTGTTTTATTATTTTGAGATTAAAATTTAGCCTTACTTTTTTCAATTTAAATTTCTTCATCATCTTTCATGACATTCTCTCTATAGTTAGTTATCTTTTCATAAATTTTTTTCTGAATTCAACCTCACTTATGCAGTTGTTCATCAAGTGCTTATTGAGAACCCACTATTATTGAGAGCTCATTCTGGGACAGGCATGATAGTAAATGCTTTACAAAGTAATGAAAAATTAATACTAATATAATGACAATAATAGCTAACATTTACTGAGTGCTTATTATATTTTGGGCGTTATATCTAAGTGTTTTATGTGTATAATCTGTGCCCCAACATAAGAGGTAGGTAGTATTGTTATCTCTATTTTACTGGTAAAGAATCTGAGGCACAGAGAGGTTGTAACTAATGCTGGGTCACACAGCTAGTAAAGTCTGGCTGGATTCAACCCTGGCAGCTTTCTCCAAGGTCCATGCCCTTAATCCCTGGGTTCTACTCCTTTCTCCTGTAAGCCTTCAGTAGCAGCAGCTCAATAGTAAATTTTTATGAGCTTTTAATTTGTTTTCTATTAATAGGAAAACAGCAGGATCTGGCTCTCATGCTTACACAGGCCTGATGAGGTTCCTTCTAAAGGCATTTTCATGCTAATGGACACTTAGCCTGTGATTCTGGTGGTAGAATTTCCTGATAGAGGAGCCCTTAGCAGTGAGTAGGCCCTTCCTGGGCCTCCTAAGTCACCAGCACTGCCAGGTCCTTCCCCACCGTAGATCACTTTGCCTTGAGTAAAACAGAGACGTGGGATCCAGGGAGGAAGCAAAGGGTGGACAGCTTCCTCCCTCGGTCCCTCCATCCAGTCAGTCACAAGTGAGAGGCCGCATGGGCTAAGTCATAACGCTTAGAATCAGAGTCCTGTGGAAGTTGAGTCTAGACGTCATCATCCAGTAGCTGAATAACCTTGAGCACGGGGTTTGACTTCTCTCAGTCTCGGTTCTCTCATCAGTAACACAGGCAATCCCACGCTCGGCCTAATTTTTTTGTAATGTTTAAATACAGTCATGGGGTTAAAAACCTTTGTCCTCATCCACTGCATTCCCCTCTCACTCCTGGAGAAAGCCATTTTTATTAATTTCTTACATGTCCTTCCAGTGTTTCTTGAGGCAAATACAAACAGATATTGAGAGAGAGATATACATATTTTAAGTATTTTTTCACATAAAAGATAGCCTACTTTATGTAATGTTTGCATCTTGTTTAATAGTGTGTCCTGAAGATCTTTCCATATCAATACGTAGAAAGAATCCTCATTCTTTTTAGGGTTGCAGACACCCCGTGTGTAGGTCTACCATGTCTTATTTAACGAGTTGTTTACTGTGGCACTTATGTTGTTTCCCAACTCTTGCTGTTAAAGTGAACCTAGATTATTTCATTTAGTACAGATGTATCTGTAGGGAATTTCCTAGAATGTGTTTCTGGGTTAAAGGATATACGCATTTGTAATTTTGCTACATCTTGCCAAACTACCTTAGGCTTCGACATTTTGTATTTTTATCAGCAATATATTTCTTTTTAAGAGGGGAAAAAGTCATTAAAGAAAAATGTCAAAACAAATGCTCGAGACGAAAATATTGTAGTCTTTTTGACGGTTTAGTTCCCTGACATTGTTGATCCATTTGTTAGAGTAATCTCAGGCTTAGAATCACAAAATTTTCCATTAAGAAAGGACCTTAAATCTCCATTCATTTTACGATATGGAGACCGAGGCCAAAAGCGGTTAAACGACTTGCTGAATTCACATAGTAGTTTTTTTCAAAATCAGAACTGGAACAAAAACTTCCTGCTGTCCAGTGTCCTTTCCGTTATGCCTGGTCTGTCAGCTCTTCCTTTGTGAATTCTTACTACTTTGATATTTCAAGCAGCATTGTTTTACTAAAAGTTGGTCCTCGTTTTCACACATAGTGAAGCTGAGGCAAGAAAGGTGGATTTTTCACAGTGTATGTGCAAGAGGAAGTACACTGTGGCGATTGAGGAGGCCGAGCTCCAGAGGCAGACAGGGTGCTTCACATGCGGGGTCCCCTTCGACAGGCGCTGTGAACTGGCACAGGGTACTCAGTTTCTCTAACCCTCACGTGCTTCATGGAGGGCGGGGAGGGGGCACTCAATCGTGGTTAGCGATCAGTAGTGACCTCCAGCATAGAGTCCACTTAGGGTTTGAAGGAAAGGGTGTCAGCAAGACGCCTCAGCTCTTACCGTTTATTTCACAACGACTTTTGAACCAAAATCGTTATTGTCAGTGTAGGAAATGAGTTAAACTATTGTTGTTGGAAAAAGAAGCATAGCCGATATTATTACTGAGGCAGGTATGGGTCCTAGTAATTCTAAGGAAAATTATTGTTCTCACAGGTATGGGATAGCCATAAATTACATTTTAGGAGTGATTTGAATAAAAGAATGTCTACCTGTTCGGTAGGAAATACAGAAAAATGTTAACCGATACACATCGTTGATGTAATTAAAAAATTATCAATGATTCATCTATCAGAACTAATCAGAACAAGTCACTAATTGTCATTTGATGTGTGGCAAACTGAGACAAAAAGTAATGTTAAAGTGACTTGTTCCAGTTCTTGACAGGGTACTGATATTTAAATCACTAAGAGTTGGGAAAATTTAAGAATAGATCATTACACTTTTAATCATTTCAATCTTTAATTTCTGTGTCTTCTGATTCTGAAACTTTTTCAACTCCCTAACTCTCAGGTAGAGCTAATTGCTTATTCCTTTGTGTTCCATTGGCCTTTTATATATATTTCTATAAAACTTCTAAAATGGTATTGAATTATCTGTTTATACACTTTCCTTCTTAAAGGGAGGGGTCATGTCTTATTAATTTTTATATCCTTCCCACCTAATTACTTCCTAGCACGTAGTTGACATTCATAAATATTTGTTAAGTGAATTAATAGATGACTAAATAAAACACAGTTGTAAATTAAGCTTTTAAAAGTAAATTATACATTAGGGGAGCTCTGTATTTAAAAGGAAGCTTTGGGGCCGGACCCGTGACCAAGTGGTTAAGTTCTCGCGCTCTGCTTTGGCAGCCTGGGGTTTCCCCAGTTCAGATCCCAGGCACAGACACGGCACTGCTCATCAGGCCATGTTGAGGTGGTGTCCCACATGCCACAACTAGAAGGACCTACAGCAAGAATATACAAATATGTAGTGGGGGGCTTTGGGGAGAAGAGGAAGAAGGAAAAAAAAGATTGGCAACAGATGTTAGCTCAGGTGCCAAACTTTAAAATAAATAAATAAATAAAAGGAAGGCTTTTGATAATATAAGTATTCACGTATAATCTCTAGTTATAAGAACTTTGTATATTTTTTATTTCTCTTAAATCATGCCATTACATGAATTTCCATGAATTAGAATTTTAGAGTTGAATGTTATATGAAGAAAAGGAAACTATTATTCATTTTTAGTACTACTTCTGCTTGTTCTACCTTAAAAAAATCTGGATAGTATAAATTATTATTAAAGAACATAATTTAAAGAAACATGAAGTTAAAATAGACTGAACAAATATTAATAAAATAAGCCATGTATCACTGTATTTTCATTTAGCAATTCTGGGCACTGCAGACGATTTCAAAGCACGAACTCTTTCCTGCCTGGGTGTCCCAGTACCTGCTGAGACTGAAGAGGTGAGATCATCTCATCACTTCGGAAAGAGCATGTAATGTGTTCCTTTAGCACAGTCAACCCATCAGCTTCCTCCCTTCCTTTCATTTTTCAACATTTCCTTTGTCCTCCCGGGTCCTTTGCACCAGCTGAGGCGTCCACAGTAACCTCTCACCATGCAGAGAGCCCCCATATGTTCCCCTCAGCTCTGAGAACACAGGTCCCCAGCTCCCGAGCCCACGCCCTGAAGCTCTGGAGGAGAGCACCTCGGGCTTTCATCCCTGTCCGCTATCGTTACATCTTACACAGTTGTAAGAAGGTACTTTGTTTCATAACTCACAATGAATTAGAAGCTACAGACATGAAAGAGGAAAGAAGTTGCAGGTAGTGGCAGCCAGCCGAAGGGAGAAGGAAGAGACAGGAGAGCACAGGATGCACTGGAGCAGATAGCCCTTCCCAGCCCGATGCCCGCTGAGGACTGTTTATAAAGGGGACCCTGAGCAATCAACAAAACGTTGAATCATTTTCAGAAAGTCGTGTTTAAGATAACAAAAGGTATCGGACAGTTTAGGTTTTTTTTAAGACAAAAATAAATTTTTAATTGGTGAAAATAAAATAAAGTTTGGTATTATCTAAAACAAGGTAGTCTTTTATGTATTGTTTAATCAAACTCACTATTTTCTATCTTCCCTTCAAATACTAATTCAATGTGATTTTTTAATGTTTTTTCTTAATATTTGTCTTGTGAAATAATTCCCACCCTGTTGAAAAATGATATAATTTCAGGAGACGGTGGTTAATTTTGTCCTTTGGTTTATTCATTTTTAGTAACATGAATGATTCAGATTCTGAAAGAAGAAAAAGAATGATGAGTGAGTAATCAATATTTAAGTTGCTTCTAGTTTTCCTTAATACAAGTAATACTTTTTTATGTTTAAATCTGTTTCCATAGACTATATTCCCAGAGAAAGCAGAAGTACAAGGCGCTTATATGTTTAGGTTTTCTGGCACATCTTGGCAGATCTTTAAAGCCAGGTTGAAATGGAGTTTGCATGTTCCCTCCATTCAGGTAACTCAGAAAACTGCTGTTGAGAATCACAAAATGGTGGTTTCTGGAGACCTCTCAGAATTTCCCTGATGCCGGTGGGGATGAGCCTCCTCCTTCTCCACCCAGTTGATAAGTTATTTTGGAAAAGGTTCATCTCAAATAAAGACATAGTTTTCAGATTTTTTTCTAAATGTGCCATTATTATAATACTTTTTTTTTCTTTTTGTGAGGAAGATTCTCCCTGAACTAACATCTTTGCCAGTCTTCCTCTGTTTTTTATGTGGGTCACTGCCACAGCATGGCTGCTGACTGATGTCGGTCCATGCCCAGGAGCCGAACCCCGGCCGCCGAAGCAGAGTTCACCAAACTTAACCACTAGGCCACAGGGCCGGCCCCCATTGTAATACTTTTTATTGTGAAAAAATGCATGGTTACTATCAAAAATATAAACCTGTTAAGAGTTCTGTCTGCACATAAGCTTTCCTGTTTGCTCTTGGCAGCATCAACATTAAGCAGTCCTACTGAGTCAGACCTTAATTCTGTGCTTGAGATGTGAAAAGCAGCAACTTTTCCCCTCAACTTAGGGCACAGGGCCTAATTCAGATGAATTCATTGCTTTCTCCATGCTCTATAAAATGCTTGGTGAACTGAACCTGGTGAAAAAACCAAATTAATGATAAAACACTGAAAAGAAAAACAAAACATAATATTGCTCATAATCCTCAAAAAAGTTTTTTCTGTACCATAAAATGATAAATACTGTACCTTGTCTATAAACAATTAAAGTTGACTGAAGCTGATCATTTCTTCTCATTTGAGCCCTCCAGCAGAGTTCTTAAAGCTTGTCTAATTTCAGTGGTAATTGAATAGGGCCTGTGTCAATTTAGTAAGTTGTTGTTCCCAGATGTACTTCTCCCTCTTGTTTAAGCTGTTAATCCCAGATATGTGCTGAAGAACTGGATGGCAGAGTCTGCAGTGCGAAAAGCAGAAAGGAATGATTTCTCAGAGGTAAGGGGCTTGAATTTTCTGGGTTTATTTTCATTAATTTTAAATGTATTGTATTTTAAACACACATTTTATTTGCAAACATGCTAAACTATGCCATTGCCAGCACCAGCTTCCCCAAATTCTTGTTGCTTAGTCTCTCTTTTTGTGTTTATCAGTGAATCATTTTCTCCTATTTTCTAATTTATTCTCTAATGTATTTAAAATTTTCGAGGCTGGCCCAGTGGCATAGCAGTTAAATTCGCGCATTCCACTTCGGCAGCCTGGGGTTTGCTGGTTCCGATCCCGGGTGTGGACATGTCACCGCTTGGCAAGCCATGCTGTGGTAGGCGTCCCACATATAAAGTAGAGGAAGATGGGCACGGATGTTAACTCAGGGCCAGGCTTCCACAGCAAAAAGAGGGGGATTGGTGGCAGATGTTAGCTCAGGGCTAATCTTCCTCAAAAAAAATTTAAACATTCATTTTATATCATATATCTACATTCTTTGAACTTCCGAGGGTTGATTCTGCTGTTTCTTGTTCCTGTTTTGGAATTCTGGGTTTCATCTCTGAAATGCAGTGAAGCCTGATTTGAAGGTGCGTCTCTCCACAGGGAGTAAGCTTTTGCTTCTGGCGGGGTCCATGGCACTAGCAACCTGGGTCCACTTACATTCATCTTGACAGCAGTGAACTGAATGAACTGGGTCTACGTGCGTCAGCGTGGACGAATCTCACATATGGTGTTAGGCAAAACAAGCGAGTGGCCAGGAATACATACAATGTGTTACCACTCAAATACGGTGTAAAACATGCACAACCATATGTTACTTATGGGTCCATGCATATATGACAAAAGTAACAAAATGAATAAAGGTGATAACATCATCTTTGGACAGAGGTTACTTTGCAGTGAGGAGGAAATTTGAGTCAGGAGAGGATCTCAGGGCTTCACGCATATTGGAAGTGTTTTGTTTCTGAAGCTGGGTGGAGGATGGATACTCAGGAGTTCATTACGTTATTCTGCATACCTTCTTCTGTGCCTCAAGTATTTCAGAATCAATTGTTTACAATGCATTACACATAGTACATTTTTTAGAAGAGGAATGGCCCTGGCACTCGTGCTGTCACCTTCTGCACTGGAGCAGACATTGTTAATGACCGTGGCCCTCTTTCTCTCTAAAACTGCTCACAGCCTCAGAATCATTCTCATCACAGCAGGCTCTGTGGTCACTGTCAGCTGATCAGAGTTGGCATGGAGAGAGACTCTTGGCTATTTCAAATTTGGAACTTGCATTAACTTGTTATGTCAGTAGTTTAATTAGCCTGACAAATCTAGGTTTTCCTATTAGAAAATAAAATATTTTTAAATGTAATCTTTTTATGATATTAAGGAAAACCAAAGAGAAGGAAGATAACTCAGTATTTATCTTTAGATAAATTGGTCTAACCTGGGGAGACTAAACTATTTAATAAGTTGTTTTGTTGGCTTATTTCTCCTTCCTTCTGTATCTTTTGTTCCTTCCCTGCTTTCTTGCCTTCCTCAAAATTATTTATTTTATTTTTTATGCTTTTTGGTGAGGAAGATTGGCCCTGAGCTAACATCTGTTGTGAACCTTCCTTTTTTTTTTTCTCCCCAAAGCCCCAGTACATAGTTGTATATCCTAGTTTTAAGTCATTCCAGTTCTTCTGTGTGGGATGCTGCCACAGCATGGCTTGATGAACAATGCGTAGGTCCGCACCCAGGATCTGAACCAGTGAACCCCAGGCCACCAAAGCAGAGCATGCGAACATAACCACCCAGCAATGGGGCTGGTCCCTCAAAATTATTATTTTTATGTTTATTTATTTTTTTTTGAGGAAGATTTTCCCTGAGCTAACATCTGCTGCCAGTCCTCCCCTTTTTGCTGAGGAAGACTGGCCCTGAGCTAAGATCCATGTCCATCTTCCTCCACTTTATATGTGGGACGCCTGCTGCAGCATGGCTTGATGAGCAGTGCTTAGGTCCATGCCAGGGATCCGAACTGGTGAACCCCAGGCCGCTGAAGCAGAGTGTGTGAACTTAACCACCATGCCACCAGCTGGCTCCCTAAAAATTATTTTTGACTGAGGATGCAGTGCTCACCTTGAGTGGGGAGGTGTCTTACTAGCTTCAAGTAAATATTCAGATTCATGAGACTGTTGCAGGTTGCTGTTGACCCCAGTTGAGTCTGGAAGATACAGGACAGAAACGTAGCTTACCACCAGGGCAACATCAGGCTCGTTCGCAGGAGTTCTTGAGTGCTCCACACTAGCAGGAAGGCACAGCAGTAAAGCTCAGGCATGAGGAGAGGAGAGCCACACCCGGAAGATGCATGGGCAGCCCTGGCTTCAAAGCTTCATGTTCCACAGAAACCAGCATCTCTTGTAACAACTCCATGGGCATAGTTTCCAATGTCCCCAAAAGAGACCTGCCTTATACCGAGAGTCACCACACTAACGAAAGCCCAGAGCATTCTATCAGGTCTTCATGGTTCTCAGTCCAAATGCTATTTGTCAGTCCTAAGCAATGTCGTGTGGTGATACAGTTGACATACCACATTATCAGGTTACCAGGGCAACAGACGTAGAAAGTTAGCTAAGGGTTAAATTCTCATGCAGGAATGGAAAAAGATTTTGTTAAACCTTTATACATGTAACCCTTTACACACACGACTTGTGTTTATGTTCTTGCACCAAACATTTCTTGAGAATCTACTCTGCAAGGCACTGTAGAGAAGTATCAAAATCTGTTCAGGGAGCTTTTAAACTAGTAGGTGAGATTAGACAGGTGTAGTGACCTCAGTGAATGCATATGTATAGAAAGTGCCCGGGGAGAAGTTACAAGGGGCTCTAAGAACACTATCTTGGTGATGATACAGTCTTCCTACTTAAAATATTAATAATACAGTAGTACGCTCTATCGGATTTCTTGACCTTACTTTCTTATTAGATCATCCACCTTTTTCTATCAGAATGAGGCATTTCCTTAGTAATACCCGAGGAAGTGACAAAACCACTGGAAAAGATATTTTTAATTGAGGTGTAGTTGACATATAACATGATATTAGTTTCTACTGTACAACATAATGATTTGATATTTGTGTATATGGCGAAGCGATCACCACTCTAAGTCTACTTAACATCCATCACCACACACAGTTACAAATTGTTTTTTCTTGTGATGAGGACTTTTAAGATCTCTCTTAGCAACTTTCAAATATGCAATGCAGTATTATTAACTGTCGTCACCATGCGGTACGTTACATTGCCATGACTTACTTATTTTATAACTGGATGAAAATATACGTGATCCTAGAATTATTGTTGAAAGAAGTGTCTCCTTTGATGCCTCAGTTTATTACCGTGGGGCAAATTGAAAATGAGGAAGCAGCATGAGTTGGATGAGCAGCATGCCCTTGATTTGGAAAGATTACAAACCACTGACATCCTTATATTTTTGTAAATATTTTAGAAAATTATAATTTTCTTGATGCTGTGAAGGAATTTAAAAATTATCAGGATATATATGTAGTCTTCGTGACACTGTATATTCACTCTCTTGTTTTAGCACAAATCTAGTACTTAAGGAACTTTCTGTGGAACAATACAAATTTTAAGTAACAACTCTAGTCTTAAGTTTTAATAGAACACAAAATGTTTAAACAGTTTCAAGCAGATTTAAAATTTACCCTGTCATTTTAGAAATTTAGAAACTTATAAAGGTCCTGAGGAAAAGCATCTATATTTATCTTCTTAAATTGTTTACCAGGTGCGTCTCCTTCAGCAAGTTCTTCAGCATCCTTTCCAGAAGCATTCCACAGCTGAGAAAGCTGGCTACGCCTCACCTACTCCTTCTTGGGCTAAAAATCTCAGAGTCAGCTGCTCGTCTTAATTTGGGGAAAATCAAATAAGGAAGACTCCAACACTGAACACAACATAGAATAATCTATTTGGTAAATTCTTAATGACCATATACATGATGACAATCCTGCATTTTTTTATAGTGATTATATACAAAAATATTTTTTAATCAAATAAACTAGACCTATTCTTCAGAACATCTTTGTAATCATTTTTGTTCTAATCAATAACTTTAATGGAATAGGAAGTTGTTTTTGGTAAACCACAAGTTATTCTCAATAACTAAAAAACCTTGTGACAATCTTTTAATGAATTTGTAAGCATTCATCTAATTCTTGCTATGTACCCAGCACTTTGTGGCACATCAAATAAGTATATAGTTTAATTGTATTCCTAGAGCTTTTTTGTCTATTATGGAAATTTTCAAACATTTATCAAAGTAAAAGCAATAGTTTAATCAATCTGATTTACCATTCAACCAACTTATTAATTATCAATGCATGATCAATATTGCTTCATCCACGTTCCTACACACTTCCCCCATGTTCCTAGTTATTGTTTTAATTGAAGTATAGTTTATATATCCCCAAGTATGTTTAAGAAATTCCCTGACGTTGTTTCATTTAATCTACAGATATTTCTTCATGCATCTCCAAACATCAGTGACTTAAAACATATACACACAACCATTATCACCTTAAGATAAATTAACTGCTCCCCAATGCATCAAATCAAATAACCAGCTTTCAAATTTTTCCTATTGTTTTATAAGTTGTTATCACCATCATTGCTATTTTATAGTTGTTTATTTCGATTCAAATAAGGACTATACACTAAAATTAGATAACAAAATCTCTTAAGTTTCTTTTGATGTCTTTGGGTACAACCACCTACATCTTTTTTTTTCCCTTGCAACTTTTCATTTTGTTTCGGCTGAAGAAACTAGGTCGTTTGTCCTGTGGTGTTCCCCAAGTCTCTATTTTGCTAGTTGCATGTCTGTGGTATTGGTAACATGTTGCTCTGTCCCCTGTAACTCTGTAAATCTAGAGCTTGATTCAGATTCAGGTTCTGTTTATTTGGCAGAAATACTTGCTATCGGAGGGCGAGTGTCGTGTACTTCCACCAGGAGGTGCATACTTGGTTGTCTCTTTTTGTGATATCAATAGCCATTGACAATCATCACCTTGACCCATTGATTCAATAGGGTTACAAAATGATGACAATCTAGTCCTATCCTTCACTTATTAGCTGGAAACCTTCTATAAAGGAAAACTTACTATCATTAATTATTTGGTTATCCTGAGATACAGAAAGGCAAGGTGACGAGTTGGTTCCCAAGAGTGCTCCAAAGACAGCCAGTGGGCTTGTTTGATGATTTGTGTTAGTATCATTATGAGTTCTTGAATTTAAGCATAATTTATGTTTTATATTTTTGCAGTTATTATCCTTACTGATGTACAAATTTTCCCATATTTAGCCAGTGAGGTGTTATTCATATTGCCTCCTTTTGGACATGATCCTAAAAACTTTTGATAACTCCCTTGTTTTCTGGTGTGATAAGATGTTCCAGGTTCATCCTGTATATTTCTTGCTTTCACCCTGGAGTCAGTCATTTTTCTAAGGAGGACCTTTTCAGGGAAATGGTGTTTAGAGACCACAGTTTAGGTGCCTAAAGCTTTGTGAATATTTGGAACACTTTCCAAAGCTTGTTAAATTATAGTGAACATTTTTTGAGTTGTAGACCTTCTTTTCTAAAATTAAATAATATGAACAAACAACAAAAAAATAAAAATAGCAAAAAGATATATTATTAGAACTAAAGATAAGTCCTAACCTCATAAAATTTTATGGTGAGATTTTATTCATTTTTTTCAATTATTAAATTAATCCTTGCTTATGTAAAGTAATACATGCTCGTGTAAAAAGTTTTTTAAAGAAGTATATTGAGTAAATGTGGAAGTCATCCTTCACACTCTCCTCCCATTATAAGTGTTGTGTCCTTTCAAACTTTTGCTGTACGTTTACATGCCTGTATACAAATATACATATATAAATGCACGTTTATGAGAGTAGGGGCATATGTGACACATTGCTTTGTAAATTGGCTTTTATTTATGTTATTAATGTTCAATAGCCATATGTGCTGATCTCCTTCATTCACTTTAATGGTTTAAAAATATTCCATAGTATAGATATACCATATTTTGTGAAATCATTTACATATTTGGTACCCTTTTGGGTTTCCAGGCTTTTTATCCCTTATAAATATAGCATCCTTGTCTGTACATCTTTGTATATAGAAACCTGTATATAGAATTATTTGGGTCAAAAGGTGTGTGAATTAAAAATGTTTATATAGGGTGCCAGCCTGGTGGCATAGCAGTTAAGTTCATGTGCTCTGCTTCGGCGGCCCAGGGTTCGCTGGTTCGGATCCTGGGCGCAGATGTACGCACCACTTATGGAGCCATGCTGTGGCAGGCATCCCACATATAAAATAGAGGATGATGGGCACAGATGTTAGCTCAGGGCCAATCTTCCTCAAAAAAAATAAAAAAAATAAATACATAAAAATGTTTATATATACTGCCAAATTGAACCCCAGAAAGGTTTTACCAGTTAATATTTCCAACAATGTAACACAATACCAGTTTCCTCACACCTTCAGCACTGGATATGTGTTTAATTTTTTTTCCAGTCAGCTACATCATAATTTGATTTATCATTTTAATATCAATTTTAATTATTCATGTAGCAGTTAACTTTTGTTTTTCATATAACAAATAGTGTTTCTTTTTCTATCACTAGTATTTTATTCTTTAATGGTGTCTCACTAAACAGATTTTTAATTTTCATATATTCAAATTTGGAAATTTTAGAAAAGTCACTTTGGGATTTTATGTCTTGTTTAGTATTGCTTAAAATTCATAAAAAATATTTACTCAAATTTTCTTCTAGTATTTTTAGAATGTTTACTTTTAATTCCTTTGAGATTTATTGATTATTTTTTCCAAATTGATGGATAATGTCCAGTACTATTTATCAAATAGCTTATCTTTTACACACATTTGAAATACAACTTTTATCATATACTAAGTTGTCATATATTTGAGCTCATTGCTAGACTTTATTCTAATTTTTTTATTTTCAACTCTTCTAGCAGTGGCATTCTATTTTAATTGTTTTGATTTTATAGTATAGTATATTTCAACAGTTGGTCTGCTGTCATTAAACTTTTTTTTTGACTTTTTTTTATTAAGGTTATGAAAGTTAACATCCTTATGAAATTACAGTTGTACATCATTATTAGTCTTGTTGTAGGTACACCACTTTACCCCTAGTGCCCTCCCCCCACCCCCCTTTCCCCTGGCAACCACCGATCAGTTCTCTTTGTCCATATGTTAACTACCACATATGAGTGGAGTCATACAGAGTTTGTCTTTCTCTGTCTGGCTTATTTCACTCAACATAATACCCTCAAGGTCTATCCATGTTGTTGTGAATGGGACGACTTTGTCCTTTTTTATGGCTGAGTAGTATTCCATTGTATATATATACCACATCTTCTTTATCCAATCATCAGTTGCTGGGCACTTAGGTTGGTTCCACGACTTGGCTATTGTGAATAATGCTGCGATGAACATAGGGGTGCATGGAACTTTGGGAATTACTAATTTCAGGTTCTCAGGATAGATACCCAGTAGTGGGATGGCTGGGTCATAAGGTATTTCTATTCTTAACTTTTTGAGGAATCTCCATACTGTTTTCCATAGTGGCTGCACCAGTTTGCATTCCCACCAACAGTGTATGAGGGTTCCCTTTTCACCACAGCCTCTCCAACATTTGTCACTCTTGGTTTGGATATTTTTGCCATTCTAAGAGGTGTAAGGTGATATCTTAGTGTAGTTTTGATTTGCATTTCCCTGATGATTAGTGATGATGAGCATCTTTTCATGTGTCTATTGGCCATCCATATATCTTCTTTGGAGAAATGTCTGTTCATGTCCCCTGTCCATTTTGTAATTGGGTTGTTTGATTTTTTATTGTTGAGTTGTGTGAGTTCTTTGTATATTATGGAGATTAACCCTTTGTCGGATAAATAACTTGTGAATATTTTTTCCCAATTAGTGGGCTGTTTTTTTGTTTCAATCCTGTTTGCCCTTGCCTTGAAGAAGCTCTTTAGTCTGATGAAGTCCCATTTGTTTATTCTTTCTATTGTTTCCCTCGTATGAGGGGTTATGGTGTCTGAAAAGATTCTTTTGAAGCTGATGTCAAAGAGTGTACTGCTGATATTCTCTTCTAGAAGGCTTATTGTTTCAGGCCTAATCTTTAGGTCTTTGATCCATTTTGAGTTTATTTTAGTGAATGGTGAAAAAGAATGGTTGATTTTCATTCTTTTACATGTGGCTGTCCAGTTTTGCCAGCACCATTTGTTGAAGAGACTTTCTTTCCTCCATTGTAGGCCCTCAGCTCCTTTGTCAAAGATTAGCTGTCCATAGATGTGTGGATTAGCATAGATGTGCATAGATGTGTGCTTTCAATTCTGTTCCATTGATCTGTGCACCTGTTTTTGTACCAGTACCATGCTGTTTTGATTACTGTAGCTTTGTAGTATGTTTTGAAGTCAGGGATTGTGATGCCTCCAGCTTTGTTCTTCTTTCTCAGGATTGCTTTAGCAATTTGGGGTCTTTTCTTGCCCCATATGAATTTTAGGATTCTTTGTTCAATTTCTGTAAAGAATGACATTGGAATTGTGATTGGGATAGCGTTGAATCTGTAGATTGCTTTAGGTAGTATGGACATTTTAACTATGTTTATTCTTCCAGTCCATGTGCATGGAATGTCTTTCCATCTCTTTATGTCGTCGATTTCTTTCAAGAAGGTCTTGTAGTTTTTGTTGTATAGATCTTTCACTTCCTTGGTTAAATTTATCCCAAGGTATTTTATTCTTTTTGTTGCGATGGTGAATGGGATTGAGTTCTTGAGATCTTTTTCTGTTAGTTCATTGTTAGCATATAGAAATGCTACTGATTTATGTATGTTGATTTTATACCCTCAACTTTGCTGTAGTTGTTGATTGTTTCTAATAGTTTTTCTATGGATTCTTTGGGGTTTTCTATATATAAGATCATGTCATCTGCAAACAGTGAGAGTTTTACTTCTTCGTTGCCTATTGGATTCCTTTTATTTCTTTTTCCTG